AGGTAGTTGAAAGCAGCTATCAAATCCCCCCTCATTCTTCTCTTCTGCAGACTAAACAATCCCAGTTCCCTCAGCCTCTCCTCATAAGTCATGTGTTCCAGACCCCTAATCATTTTTGTTGCCCTTCGCTGGACTCTCTCCAATTTATCCACATCCTTCTTGTAGTGTGGGGCCCAAAACTGGACACAGTACTCCAGATGAGGCCTCACAATGTCGAATAGAGGGGAACGATCACGTCCCTCGATCTGCTGGCTATGCCCCTACTTATACATCCCAAAATGCCATTGGCCTTCTTGGCAACAAGGGCACACTGCTGACTCATATCCAGCTTCTCGTCCACTGTCACCCTTAGGTCCTTTTCCACAGAACTGCTGCCTAGCCATTCGGTCCCTAGTCTGTAGCTGTGCATTGGGTTCTTCCGTCCTAAGTGCAGGACCCTGCACTTATCCTTATTGAACCTCATCAGATTTCTTTTGGCCCAATCCTCCAATTTGTCTAGGTCCCTCTGTATCCTATCCCTGCCCTCCAGCGTATCTACCACTCCTCCTAGTTTAGTATCATCCGCAAATTTGCTGAGGGTGCAATCCACACCATCCTCCAGATCATTAATGAAGATATTGAACAAAACCAGCCCCAGGACCGACCCCGACCCCTGGGGCACTCCACTTGACACCGGCTGCCAACTAGACATGGAGCCATTGATCACTACCCGTTGAGCCCGACAATCTAGCCAACTTTCTACCCACCTTATTGTCCATTCATCCAGCCCATACTTCTTTAACTTGCTGACAAGAATACTGTGGGAGACCGTGTCAAAAGCTTTGCTAAAGTCAAGAAACAATACATCCACTGCTTTCCCTTCATCCACAGAAGCAGTAATCTCATCATAGAAGGCGATTAGATTAGTCAGGCATGACCTTCCCTTGGTGAATCCATGCTGACTGTTCCTGATCACTTTCCTCTCATGTAAGTGCTTCAGGATTGATTCTTTGAGGACCTGCTCCATGATTTTTCCGGGGACTGAGGTGAGGCTGACTGGCCTGTAGTTCCCAGGATCCTCCTTCTTCCCTTTTTTAAAGATTGGCACTACATTAGCCTTTTTCCAGTCATCTGGGACTTCCCCCGTTCGCCACGAGTTTTCAAAGATAATGGCCAATGGCTCTGCAATCACATCCGCCAACTCCTTTAGCACTCTCTGATGCAACTCGTCCGGCCGTATGGACTTGTGCGCGTCCAGCTTTTCTAAATAGTCCCTAACCACCTCTTTCTCCACAGAGGGCTGGCCATCTACTCCCCATGCTGTGATGCCCAGCGCAGCAGTCTGGGAGCTGACCTTAGAGAGAACTATCTGCAGACCACCTGAATGGAGTTTGCAGACCACTGTTTGAGAACCTCTGCTGTAGAGGGTTGACCCTCTGCACTGCTTGAGCCCCATTTTGAAGGTTCAAGTGGGCTCCAAGTGGTATATGATCTTTGCAGTGGCTCTCAACACGGGAGAATTTTACTATCCCTAAATATTCACCATTGGGGCTAGGAGAGAGGCAGTAGAAAAGGGATGGATGCTTTCTGTCAAGCAAGAGTGCAAATGTAGATGGCAATAGCTGTCCAATGTTTGACTGGGCTGCAGAGTTCATACAAATGTTATGTCACAGCCTGGGCTAGTCTCCCACTGTCCAGGCATCAGGCTGTTGTGAGTGGACCCAAACGAGAGGTCTCAAGTGCTTTCGAGCCCATTGGCTCTGGATAGAGCGTAATCGCTATTTCTAGCTCCGGGACTATAGGGCAGGTTCAGACATCCTGTCTAACACCCTTCTTTGGGACATGAGGCACTACTGCCCAGCCACCCTAGATGCTGAATCAGTGTCTGGAACCTCTTGAGCCCCCGCAGTTGCTAATACGTACTCACCCTAGAGGTCCACTTAGGCTATGGCTTCTGGACTTCTAGTTTAATCTCTTTGGAGACATTGGCAGGAAAGCTGGGAGTACAGGCTTAGCAAAGGAGTTTCTTACCCACAGAAACTTTGCTCTGAAAGCACTTGAGAGTTACAGGTCTCTGAAAACAAAACTAAGGTCCTGAGACGCACCCAGTTGGATATCACCCCTTCTTGTGAGGTTTGTCAGCATTTCAGGTTGGACCAAGTCCCTCCAGCAAGTCCTTCTCAGATGTGTCAGTGGTTAGCCCCCCTGTCCTGCACGGAGAAGCACCTCACTTTTAAATCTCTGTCTCTTTGCCATATGGCGGAATTCTCTTTTAGACCTTGTCCTAACAGATAAAGAGGAACTGATCACAGAACTACAAATTAATGGTAGCTTAGGTACAAGAGATTGTGACTTGATCACACTTATAACGTGCCAGCAGAATGAAGGCCAGACCAGTAATCTATACACTTGCTGCTGTAATAGGGCCAATTTCACAAAGCTGAAAACAACTATGAGCCCAGTCAGCTGGGAGGAAGAACTAGAAAAATATGAATGATAATTGGGAATCGTTTCAGAACCCCTTACTAGATGTCCCAAAAGCCACAATGCCATAATTGAGGAAGAAGACTGTGCTGGTTTAAAAAAAGACTTTGTTTAGAGGGGAAATGAAGCCAGCTATAAAAAAAATTAAAAAATAATATATTACAAATTGAAGAAAGGAGAAGTTGATAGTAATGAATATAAAGTAGAAGGTAGGAATTGTAGAAAATTGATAAGGGAAGTCAAGGGACACAAGGAGAAATCTATGGCCTCCAGAGTTGAGGACAATAAGGAGTTTTTTTAATACATTAGAATTCTGATAATGGTCCATTATTAGATGGAAATGGTAGTTATCGATAATAAGGCGGAAAAGTGTTCAATAGATATTTCTATTCTGTATTTGAGGAAGACACAGATTATGCAGTCTCATCATATGGTGATGAGAGAGCACTTTCCATTCCAACAGTAGCTCTGTAGGATGTTAAACAGAAGCTACTGAAGTTAGACATTTTAAAATCAGCAGGTCCAGATATGTTGCATCCCAGAATTTTAAAAGAGCTGGTCGAGTAGCTCACTGGACCATTAATGTTGGTTTTCAATAACTCTTGGAGCACTGGGGAAGTTCCAGAAGACTGGAAGAAAGCTAATGTTGTGCCAGTTTTTAAAAAGGGTAAGCGGGGTGGCCCAGGTAATTATAGGCCTATCAGTGTGACATCAATCCCGGCAAAGATAATGGAGCAGCTGATATGGGACTCAATTAATAAAGAACAAAGAAGGGTATATGTAATTAATGCAAATCAACATGGGTTTATGGGAAACAGATCCTATTAAACTAACTTTCTCTTTTTTGATGAGATTACCTTTAATCAGCCAAACTGCTCATAGTGTTGACGTAACATCTGCAGACTTCTTTAAGACATTTGATTTGGTACCACATGACATTTTGATGAAAAAAACTAGAACAAATAAAATTAACATGGCACATGTTAAGCAGATTAAAAACTGGCTAACTGAAAGGTCTCAATGTAATTGTAAATGGGAAATCATCAGTGACGGGGTAGGCTTCCAGTGGGGTCCCCCAGGGATCAGTTATTGGCCCTATTCTATTTAACATTTTTATCAATGACCTGGAAGAAAACATACAATCATGACTGATAAAGTTTGCAGATGACCCAAAAATTGGGGGAATAGTAAATAATGAAGAGGACAGGTCACTGATTCAGAGCAATATGGATCTCTGGGCTCAAGCAAACAATATGCGTTTTAGTACGACTAAATGCAAATATATACATCTAGGAACAAAGAATGTAGGCCATACTTACAGAATGGGGATTCTATTTTGGGAAGTAGTGACTCTGAAAAAGATTTGGAGGTCATGGTGGATAATCAGCTGAACATGAGCTCCCTGTGCAATGCTGTGGCCAGAAGAGCTAATGCAATCCTGGAATGCATAAAGAGAATTTCAAATCGGAGTAGAGAGGTTATTTTATCTCTGTATTTGGCACTGGTGCAACCACTGCTGAACTACTGTTACCAGTTCTGGTGTCCATAGTTCAAGAAGGATATTGGTATATTGCAGTATTCAGGGAAGAGCCATGAGAATGATTAAAGGATTAGAAAACGTGCCTTATAGTGATAGACTTAAAGAATTTAATCTATTTATTTTAACAAAGAGAAGATTAAGGGATGACTTAATTACAGTCTATAAGTACCTACATGGGGAACAAACATTTAATAATGGGCTCTTCAGTGTAGCGGACAAAGCCCTTAACATGATCCAGTGGCTAGGAATTGAAGCTAGACAAATTAAGATTGGAAATAATGCGTACATTTTAAAGGATGAGAGCAATTAACCTTTGGAACAATTTACCACGGGGTGTGGTGGATTCTCCATCACTAACCATTTTTTAAATCAAGGTTGGATGTTTTTCTGAAAACTCTGCTCTAGGAATTATTTTGGGGAAGTTCTATGAACTGTGGTATACAAGAGGTCAGACTAGATTATCGTAATGGTCCCTTCTGGCCTTAGAATATATTAATCTATAAATCAGATAAAGCCTAGATATCCACCAAATGTAAGGTGTGTTGTAGCAGTCAGAAAAGTGGCACTGTACACTGGCACGTTGACATAAGACGTCAGCTGTGTCTTTTCCTTCACAATCCTATCTCCTAGCGCTACTGACTAAAAACCCCCCCTATTTGATTAGTGCATCCTGCTATGTTCCTTCTGGAGAACAGAGATCTGATGATCCTGTTGAGGATACAGGAATCAAAACACTACTTGATTTTTCAGATCCCAATCTGAGTTGGCAACCCTAGTTAGACAATATTTTGAGTTGTAAACTTGGCACGTTTCAGAGAGTAAATTGGAACCCCAAGAAACATTGTTTTTGCAAATTCTTTACCACTCCTACCCACCCACTTTAATTACATCTTAATTGGTGTCTGTGGCACTAACATGAATGAATGCCCTGCAGAAGTATTTTTAAATAGTTTAGAAATAATCAGATTAATGGGTTAATATATATTTGATCCCACAGTGCTGCTCACATGGGGTCTACAAGAACTTCATGCCAACCAGGAGACAATTGTCAAGATTTCTGCTGCTGGCCAACGTAAGTTTGTGTTTATAAACTAGAAATTCAAAAATGCCTAATCCTCACCTTCAAGGCTTTGCCCAGCTCTAATGCTGCCTACATCACCTCTCCCCCTACTTTTCCACTCACCCTCCACCCTGCTAACTCCCCTCCCACTAATGGATCCTTACATCAGTGTCCCCATGCTGGAAAACTCTCCCAAATGCTATGTTCCACATGCAACCTCAATCTACTCCTTCAGATTTGAGGCTCATTTATTTCAGTTGGCTTCTGTTCCACCACTTCAGCCTTCTTGCCTAAATTTGTTCCCTCAAACCTAAAGGTAATATTTCAGCATATTAACCCCTTGTTCAAGTTAGTTATGTGTAGTGTGACCAGATGTCCCGTTTTTATAGGGACAGTCCCGTTTTTTTGGACTTTTTCTTATATAGGCACCTATTGTCCCCCATCCCTTGTCCCGTTTTTTCATAGTTGCTATCTGGTCACCCTAGTTATGTGTTTAACAGAGGAACCAACAGGATAGTCTGAGCCAGGATGGTCTTATAGTTAAGGTACTGTACAGTAACTCAGAAGACCTGAGTTCTGTTTCAGGTTCTGTCACAGACTTCCTGAGTGATCTATGGTAAATCACGTTATCTCAGTTCCCCGTGTGTGAAATGGTGATGATGCTTCCCCACAGAGAGGTGTTGTGAGAATCAATTTGTTGTTATTTGTGCGGCCGTGGTGATGGGGATCATATTAAGTACCTCGATAGTCAGATAGAGGTGTATGTTACAAAATTATATTGCATGATCTTTTACTGTAACCTTCATTTTCCAGTGTCCATTGTCCAACTTAAAGGTAAGCTCCTGTCGGCCAGGACCTGACTGGTTTTGAACTTGTCTGTAACATACAGTTCATCCCTATCATATTATAGACTTAAAGAATGATAGAAAAGAGACTTCCTCCTCATTCTGTGTGTTTATTTCTTAATTACATTCATTTTAAGTCTGTAACAGCTGTAGAAACAGCAGTCCAGGAGGACCTAGTTATGCAGGAAGAGAAAAACAATTGGATAAGATGAGGCTGCATTGAGCTATCTCTATATCATACAAGATGTAACAGCCGCAGCCCGGGAGTGTCCCTAGCCAATGCTAGTGCAGCAACTGAAAGTGACTGCAGGGACTGCAACGAGCACGAGGAAAACAAAAAATGAGAGGGCATTTGTCAAGGTTCCTTCCCCACTCTGAACTTCAGGGTACAGATGTGCAGACCTACATGAAAAACCCCATAAGCTTATTTTTACCAGCTTAGGTTAAAACTTCCCCAAGGTACAAACTATTTTGCCTTTTGTCCCTGGACTTTATTGCTGCCACCACCAAGAGTCTATCAAATATAACTGGGAAAGAGCCCACTTGGAAACGTTTTTCCCTCCAAAATCCTCCCCAAACCCTACATCCCCTTTCCTGGGGAAGGCGTGATAAAAATCCTCACCAATTTGCATAGGACCCAAACCCTTGGATCTTAAGAACAATGAAAAAGCAATCAGGTTCTTAGAAGAAGAATTTTAATTAAAGAAAAAGTAAAAGAATCACCTCTGTAAAATCAGGATGGTAAATACCTTACAGGGTAATCAGATTCAAAACATAGAGAATCCCTCTAGGCTAAACCTTAAGTTACAAAAAGACACAAAAACAGGAATATACATTCCATTCGGCACAACTTATTCTATCAGCCATTTAAACAAAACAGAATCTAATGCATATCTAACTAGATTTCTTACTGACTTTTTACAGGAGTTCTGACCTGCATTCCTGCTCTGGTCCTGGCAAAAGCAACACACAGACAGAGAGAACCCTTTGTTTTCCCCCACCCTCCAGCTTTGAAAGTATCTTGTCTCCTCATTAGTCATTTTGGTCAGGTGCCAGCGAGGTTGTCTTAGCTTCTTAACCCTTTACAGATGAAAAGGTTTTTCCTCTGGCCAGGAGGGATTTAAAGGTATTTACCCTTCCCTTTATATTTATGACAGCATTATTCGGCAGATACCCTGTACATTGGTGCTCTTGATCGGTTTGTTACTCATGGTTATAACATGCAGGGGCATAGTGTTCCATAAAGATGTTACCTCAGAACTCTAATATCCGTATCTGGTTGTTTAGGATATAGAGCAGCTAATGCTATTAATATGGTTACAGAAGTTCCTAGCAGTGTTCTGAGAGACTTTGTAACATCATGGGGACATCTCTTCCAGATTCTTTCCCCAGTAAGACAGAAGAGTCTCCAGAGAATCCTTACTGGGTTTGTCACTGACCTCAGTATGGGTTATGACAGAATTTTTGGAGTTTAATCTGGGCTGTGTGAATACTCATGCAGAGCAGACATGACCAACGAAGCTCATAGTTACGCACCTCACTGGTGGGTCTCAGTGCTTTGATTTCAAACACGGAGGCGGAGCTGCTGAAGTGCGAACAGCACTAGCAACGAGGCCCTGTTTGCCTGCTATAGCTTGTCTGTGCTGCGGAACTGTTGTCTTAATTTTGACGTTCCAGCCAATCGAGGCTTGGAATGGACTTGCAAAGAACAGGACTTCTGAGAGAATGAGGCTACCGTATAACAAAACCCAGCGACCCAGAATGGAATGCTTTAAATCCTTTATAATCTGGCATTAGAAAATCCTAATTATAAACACACTTTCTCACTACTAGGAATGAGAAAATTGTGATGATAAACTGTGTCTGGGAAGAGAAGTGACTGGTGGGGGGAGGGGCACTGGCCACAAATGCTTTTTTATAGCTGGGCCATTAAAAAGAACTCCAGTTATCGTTGGAACACCCTTTACACCTTCTTCTGTAATTACTGCTTCCTCCTTTCTGACACTGCATCTCAGTTTCCCTCAAAGTTGGTCTTACAAAATGCTGCAGGGGGTCTTTAAAATTTTCTCTGAACATATCACTGACATTAAGGACACAGTGACATTTTTTTCCCCCCTCTTAAAATTTCTCCTGGTGTTACCTGGCAGAGGAGCAACTGTTCACATGTATTTCAGGACAGAGGATGGTCGAGTAGTTACTGCTAGACTAGAGACTAGGAGTCAGGACTTCTGGATTCTGTTCTCAGCTCTGCTGCTGACTTGCTGTGTGATTTTGGACAAAACACTAATTTTAAGGGATTTAGGTAATCGGTTCCTAGTAGGAGCCTGTGAAGATCACAGGTAAACTGAAGGCCAGAGAATCTAAAGCAATCTGGGATTATAATACAGGTTGATTTTTGGAATACTAACCTATTAACCAATTCACCATTGTAAAGTACTTTCAGATCCCCAGCTGAAGGATGTCCTGTATGTGCAAGATGTTCTAGTCGTTGCTTATCAGTTCTAGCTCAGTGGGAGGCCGTGGTTTATGCCAAGATTCCATTTCATCCCTTGGAAATTACAGGGTGGGAGAAAGTTTGCTTGAGGGGTAGGAGGTGCCTTTTGGTTTTCCATCCATTTCTCTGAAGCCACGACGTAGCCATGCTTCCTTAGGATAATCCCACTCCCCTGCTTTGAGGAGTGAGACGTCTGAGGTTGCTTCCAAACTAGCGTCCCCTACGCAGCGATGCGATGCCTTGCTTCCTGAGCTGAATGTCATGATTGTGACAGGCTGCTGAAAAACTGCAAGAATTCGTGGCTGCTCTGCCAACGTCAGGGACATGTCCTCTTTCCTATTACCCAGCTTTTTCCCAAATTCCAGGGAAGTGTTTTGGTTTGAGTGTCTCTGCAGAGACTGAAAAGGGAGCCTCAGCTTAATCTTTAAAAGACAAGGAGAACTTGTGGCACCTTAGCTCACGAAAGCTCATGCTCAAATAAATGGGTTAGTCTCTAAGGTGCCGCAAGTCCTCCTTTTCTTTTTGCGAATACAGACTAACACGGCTGCTCCTCCGAAACCAGTTTAATCTTTGTCAGTGAAAACCATCAGCTTCCACCTTGGCGCAGACACTCACAGCAACTAGTAACTACTGAGCAAACATTTTTCACACATGCCTAGGTGACACCAGGACATCATCCCAGTGCAGCCTGAAGCTCGACTGATCTAGTCAAAGCCTCAGAGCTGATCAGATAGTTTGTGTTTTTAAAATAGCGTGTTTGAAAAAAGGCTTTTCTGCTTTCTTCAGAGACAAAATGTGTCTGATTCAACTAGCCACTAGATATGTTGCAAGTTCTGTGTGTGTGTGTGTGTGTGTGTTGTGGTGGTGTTGGGGAGAGGTTCTGTAACTTGTTTTTTGTATGACGTATCTCACGTAGGGCTACAAAATGCTGAACGCTCCAATCCAGGAAAGCACTTATGAATGTGCTTAATTTTAAGCAGTCCTATTTGAAGTCAGTGGGCCGGGTCACATGACCACATGCCTAAAGTTGACCACATGCTTATTAAGAGCTGCTCTAAGATATATCTGGGGCTGTTTTGGCTCCTTCAAGCCTCAGGATCCGGGGTCTGGAAAGATGGTTTGTTTGTTTGTTTGTTTTGGCCACCTATTCTCCCACCACCCAAAACCTACTTTCTCCTCAGCATAGATGAGGGTTGCTCCCCCACACCAATTTTTTTAAGAGGTCATTACAATTTTTCAGTCAAATAGATTTCCTTTTGTGTTGAAAAGTTGTTGACTTCTTTGAAATGTCTTTATTTTTGCTAAATATATTGCAACATTTGTGTAAGCGGGGGAATAGTCCCACTATTGTGGGGAACTTTCTTGGCTTCTGCACTACCCCAGCGAAAGGATCTGAGTCTTTGGCCTCCCTGCCCTTGAGGACTCCCCTTCCACTCTCCTGTCTGGCAGAGTCCTCGTAACCCCAACAAGGCTGGGCCCAGGATACCTGGGGGGCTCGACCCCCAACCCTGCTGTGGTCACCTAGGACAGGGGCTAGGGTGTCCCCACTCCAGGGTACTCTCTCTGCACTGGGCACTTCTCTGACCCACTGACCATTACATACAATTTAAAGCAAATGCAAGTTATTTAATCAACAATTAATTTTAAAAAGAATAAGGGAAAATGGGAAAGGTTAAAGAAAACACATCAGCCCGCTCTGTGGCAGGAAACATCACAAACAGTGTCTCTGGAATGTCAGGGCAGTTCACAGTCTGTTCCTTGTAAGTCCCAGGCCTTCTTCTCCGGTCCTGGCTGTGCTGTAGGGATGCTGTGGGTTGGACACTTGCTCTGGTGGTGGCCACACGCTCTCAGGCTCTAAGTGGTAGGACCCTTCTTCCCAGTGTTGCCCCCGCCCTGTTGGGGTTACGATCCAAGCCTGGCCTGCAGAGCCTCTTGGCTGAGGTGTCTCCCTGTGCTGGGCCCGCTGCCCAGGGTCCCCCTCGGTTTCCCCAGCTGCTCACCGCACCCAGCTCCAGACTGCTCCAGCCCCAGCTCCACCACTCTGTCTCTGCTGCTCTGCCTCCAGCTCCATGGGCTGCTTCTTTGGCCCCTCTGCCTCTGCTACAGTTCTGCTCCCAGGACAGGTCTGCTCCGCAGGCTGCTTCTGTGATTCTGCTCCCAGCACTGACCTGCTTCGTGGGCTGCTTCTTTGGCCCCTCTGGCTCTGGTTGCTGCAGCTCTGCTCTCAGGGCAAGTCTGCTCTCTCTGGGCTGTGCCTCTAGCTTTGGGGCTGCAGCTCTGCTCCCAGGACAGGGTCTGCTCTCTCTGGATCTGGCACAGCTCATCTCCCCAGCTCATCTCAGGCCCCTGCTTTCTCCTTAGCTTGGCCCCACTCTGTCTGTCTGACCCAGGCAAATCCAGCTCACAGGGAGGACGGGACCTCCCTGGCCTCCTGACTCCTTGATTAGCCTGTCCACCGTGTCATTCAGGCTGACCTGGAGCATTGGCCTCTCCCCATTGTTCCTGGGGACTGGCAGTCTCAGGGTCCTGATTCCCCATCGACCCTTCTCCCTTTTTAGTACTGGGAGGTAGCAACTAAAACACCCCCACTGAATGTTAGTAAGGGGGCAACAGTCCCCTTACATTTGCATTAAAATGCAAATTTTGATAACTGTTCTGATAAAAGCTTCAAAGATGAGAGTTTAAAAAAAAAAGAGGGGGGGAAGATAATGGCTTGTTTCCAACCCTGGTGAAACAATTTTGAAATTTTTCATGTAATTTATTTTTTACTTTTTCAACCAGCTCTAATTTTTTGTCCTTGTATAATGCGCTTAATCCTAGATATTCACTTTGGCACTTCTTTGTCTTATGGCCCCAGTTACCAACTGCCCAGTGTCACCCAGGAAGTCTGTAGCTCAACATGGTCTTTGAATCCTTATATCCTAAATCCTATGCAAACACTAAACACTGGACCATCCTTCCTCTCTACAACTGCTACAACTCAAGTCTTCTATATCCACATATAAACTGTAATCAGTCACTTGCTGCTCACCCTTTTCTGCATCGTCCTGTGGATCATCTTAGTGGATGCTTTAGTGCACTGTCTCTGTGTTAAACAGAATCACTAAATGCGTTAAGAGCTTTTATAGGTGAGCACATGGGAAACCCCAAGTTGCAAGGATGTATTGTTTCTGGTACTACAGTGCTGGGGGCCAGACCACAAAGTTACACTAGATTTTGGGAACTCCAAGGCTGGCCCCAGGACAATACAGTGGAAATCCCATATGCCTGGATTTCTTGCTGTTTCCTCTCTGGAGGAGATAAATTGATGATCAGCTGAACTTTCTCCCCTCTCTCCCCCCCGCCCCAGTAAACCTGGCTCACTGAATTCTGTTGTCATCTGTGATCTAAGTATAAATGTGCATCCTGACAGCATATATCTTGTTCTCTTCCAGTGATGCAGTGCTCTGCTTCAGTAGATCTCCTCCTTCTGTTAGATGGGTCATACAGCATTGGCAAAGGAAGCTTTGAGAGATCTAAGCACTTCGCAGGCAAACTCTGTGATGCCTTGAACATCAATCCAGATAGGGTGAGTGTGACAGTAAATGTCTTGTTTTAGTTACAAACAGCATGGTTCTACCTGATACATCAGAACACCATATGTGTAGAGTGAAATGACAAACATTAGAGTTGCTGGAAGGGAGGGATCCAAAGGTTACCCAGAAAAGGATACGGCGAGGTTCTATGAAGAGCTGATGCTGGATCATACGTATATGTTGTAAATGTTTCAAAGTTTCATTTGGCATTTAAAAATATGGGACAAGCTCTTGCAGACTAAAGGTTACAAGCCAGACTTTTAAAAACCGATTAGTGATTTTTGGATGCCTACACTGAGACTAATTAAAAGAGCCTGATTTTTCAGAGGATGGGTGCTCAATGCTTTCCGAAAATCGGGTCCCTTGAATTTGTCTCAAGTCAGGCACCCAAAAATCACAAATCACTTTTGGAAATCCTGGCTGCAGAATTTATCCCAGGGAGGTTAACCAGCTATCTCTATGGATATAAGTGGTTATGAAGCCTGCGGAGGTCCTGTTTGTCCTCTCTCTTTTTAAAAGTATTCTCTATTCCAAAATGAAGGGGTAGAATGGAAGGATTTCCCTGCAGGCCATCCACAGTGTAGTAAGGTGACTGGTGGCCTATAGATGCCTGCCTGCAATAAGTGTCTCAGATTTCCCAGTAGTGTGTGGGGCTTGTCAATTGGTTCTGGAGCTGTGCCTTTCATGGCTAACCTTAACACTTGGGAACAGCTGTCATATCCAGCAAAGAACCAGTGAGGAGCTTCCAGTTGGATTTCCTGTCTCTACATGATTAAGAACGATTTCTCCTTAAGCAACAATTATTGCCCTGTTCTTATGTCCCCACCCCGCCCCCACCCTCTGTGGAGTTCTAGTTTTTTGCTTGACAAAATACCAGCCACTTCCTGTTTCATCAAACACACAGGCACGATCTGTCTTCCTGAGAGCTCGTGGAACTGTATGGTTCCAGCCGTAGCACAGTGTTCTCAAAGAGCTGATGTCCCGCAGAGCCAGCGTGTGATGATTGGTTGGGCAAGACCTTCTGATTAGAATCCAAGTCTCTGGGATCCATCCAGCATAAAATGAATTAAAATAAATGGGAAGGGAAGGGATCCAGCTCCGGTCATCATTATTTTCCTTTCTTATTTTGGATGTTGGCTTAAATCAAGGTCTAACTATGGGGATAGACAACGAGGAAGATTTTCCATGGAAACTGAATATACAGCTTTCAGAGTAGCAGCCGTGTTAGTCTGTATCCACAAAAAGAACAGGAGTATTCGTGGCACCTTAGAGACTAACACATTTATTAGAGCATAAGCTTTCGTGGGCTACAGCCCACTTCATCGGATGCATAGAATGGAACATATAGTAAGAAGCTGTATACGTACAGAGAAGGTGGAAGTTGCCATACAAACTGTAAGAGGCTAATTAATTAGGATGAGCTATTGTCAGCAGGAGAAAAATACTTTTGTAGTGATCATCAAGATGGCCCATTTAGACAGTTGACAAGAAGGTGTGAGGATACGTAACATGGGAAATAGATTCAATATGTGTAATGGCCCAGCCACTCCCAGTCTCTGTTCAAACCCAAGTTCTCCTTTCCCCATCTGCTTTCTCTTGGCCAATCGAAGCAGCTATGCTAGCTGGGTGGGTGGGCAGGTACTGCACTGTGGGTGGGGGGGGAGGGGATGTGTGGCCCCATCCAGCCAGGAGAGGCACCGGCGCATGTGACTTTCCAGCCCAGCCTTCCAGCCACAGCAGGACCCAGTGGAGATATCCAACCTGCTGGGGTGGGGGACAGGGTAGGCACCAGGGCAGAGGGAAGGAGTGTGAGCGCCCAGGGCAACAGTTGCCGAGGAGCAAGGGAGGCACGGGGTGCCATCCACCAAGGAACTGCTGTAGGACTGGCAGTAAGACCTGCCTGGGTGCCTGGAGCCGGCTGCCTCGTTGTGCTCAATAGCTCTCCTCACTCCCCCTCCTATCCCTCCACCTCCCCCAATCATAGTGAGCTTCTGCCCTCTCCCCACCACCCCCCCCAGCCTTGGAATGTGAGTGAATGGTATTTATTGGAGGGTCTTAGCCAAGAAGGGCAATGAGAAGAGTGTGGTTTATCTTGAAACAATTCAAGGTTCCTAAATCTGTCACATAATCAAAATAATACAACCCTCCCAGCCACCTGCTCCTTATGCTATTTAACCTCTTCTTTCAGGTTAGAGTGGGAGTGATCCAGTTTAGCTCGACTCCCCAGCTAGAATTCCCCTTGGATTCGTATTTAACCAAGGAGGAAGTGAAGGAGAAAATCAAGAAGATTGTGTTCAAGTAAGTTCTGTTAGACAGCCCTATTCTCTCTGAGGGTATGTGCATTTTCTGGCCAGGCCTTGTGCCCTGTCCTTCACTCTGCTGACTAGGAAGGAGTGAACCAGATTCCCTTTAGAGCTCATCAGCAGTGCCTGTTGTAGCCAGTGATTTTAGTTTAGTATTCATTTATTGTGTGATGTTATGATTAATCAATTTATGTTACATATATTCACTGTATGTTAGAGTTAATTTGTAGGATTATAAAAGTATAAGATTGATCAGTATTTAGAGGAACCAAGTATTAGACATGAGTAAGACAAGCTGAAATGCAAGACCCGTAGGTTGAGGCCTGCAAGACTTTACCTTAGCTATTTTAGGCCTTGGAGACCAGAAATGATGACATAAGTGACCAAGAAATAACCTGATGCCCTAAAATTATGGGAAAAGAGGTAACAAGTAATAATATTGCGAAAAATTACCCAGAAGATTAATATTAGATCATAAAAATACCGTAAAGCCGCATCTGTCTCAGACGTGTCTTAACCATGGGATACAGGTTGTGCATCAATGCTAATGAGAACAAAGGGAATTTACACAGCCTATAGAAAATTGAGGTCCCTTAAGTTTCCAGGGGACACAGAGCAATAAGAGAAAAGAAGGCAGACGCTTTTATGGACACTCGCAGAATGTAGGTGTAGACAGAATCACATTATAAAAAGGGGATGCCAGAATGGGAAAACTGAGCTCCCTCTGGGAGACTCCAGCAGGAACCATCCCTCTACTGATGATCAAGCCATGAGAGACCCATCAGACCCTAACACTATTGGTAAGGATGTGAGTAGAACTCTAGTTGTAACTTGTGCATAGGTCAGTTTTATGCTTGGGTAATCACAACTTTAATTGTAACTTAAATAAAACTTACGAAATAGACTAGACTTAGTATTGGTAAATATGTGTGTGGTCATTATCCTTGGTCTTTATGTGTTCCTAGAGACTAACTCTGAAGCAACTAGCAGAGGTGACTTTCACTCTGTTAAGCTTGAAACTGTAGTCGCCAGAGCCAAACCCACTGTGACGTAATACCATATTACAAAATTCACTTTAAATAAAATAAAAAGCTACACTGTCAATCAATCGTAGGGGTTACTCTGGAGAAAAACATTCTCAGTCCCTTCTGGGTTGGCCAGTTAGAATAAAAATTGATTGTGGGGCTCCCATGTGGCAGAGCAGAGGTCTAACACTAAAATGGCGTTTTTGGTCCGTGATTGCTTCTAAGTCCAGATGATTAGCTCCTTCAAAAGTAGTGCCATGAATTCTTATAGGTCCCCATGAGACTTGATGGGAATAAGGAAGCACTGTAAATTTGACTCAGAGATAAAGATCATGCACAGATTTTTAACCACCCATGCCAATTTGTTACTACTTGCACTTCACGCAGCTTGTTTGCTGAAGCTAGACTTGGTTGGTTTCTATAGTTGTCAGTTTTGTTTCTGGTCTTTGTTTCTTATCACACTGCAGTTGGGTTTCCATTTCCACTGTCTTGTCAACCAAAGTGTTCAAAAATCTTGATCAGGCTCCCAAAATCACAAGTTCACCTTAAAAATCATGATTTAAAAAACAAACAAACCAGATAAACGTCAGGTTGTTGTTGTTTGTCTTTTGGTTTTTGAGTGTTTCGGGTTTATATTTTCAAGCTGTTCTCCCCAGTCACAAGGGATAGTGGGAGCATCTATCCCTGTTGAAGTCAAAGACAAAACTCCTATTGATTTCAGTAGGCCAAGATTTTGTCCTAGAAACTTACTTTTTAATGAAAGTTGAGATTTTGATGTATTCATGTGGCTCTAGGAAATGGAGTTGGAGTTTCAAAGATGCCTATGAGGTGAGGTCCGGGCTTCTGTCTCCTTCAGGCCTCTGAAAATCCTAGCCTAATGGTATGTCTACACTATGGAACCTATGCCATCTAGGGGGACCCAATAGAAAGTGTGAAAAATTGGGACGGGGTGAGGGGTAATAGACTCTATATAAGAAAAAGTCCCAAATATTGGGACTGTCCCTATAAAATTGGGACATCTGGTCACCCTAATCATACTTATGTCAGTGTAACTGTGCTGGCATAACCCCCTAGTGTAAACACACTGTACCCCAACAAAAGTAGTTTTTCTATTCATATAGGAACACCACCTCCCCGAATATTAGTTGCATCAACAGAAGACCTATTCCATCAACACAGCTGTGTCTGTTTTGTCAGCATAGATCTATTGGTCAGGGATGTGGTTTTTTCACACCCCTGACTGACACAGTTATGCTGACGTTACTTTTAAGTGTGGAATGAACCTTAAGCTGTAAGAAAGGAAATTGGAGCCCAAATCATCTCCTTTTTTAAAAAGTGCTCTTTTCTTTTGTTTGGGTGGTAGGGAAGGTCACATTGAGCCTATGAAAGTAAGTGGGGACAAAATATAGGAATATCTCCCACAGGCTGTAGAATTTCAGCAGAAAAGGCATTCGGGTTAAAGGATCAGCTCATTCAATAGTCAAAGTGTCTAAACAAATTCTGAATATGGCCCAGAGTTTGCAAACAAACTCAAGATCCTCTTCAACTTCAAGTGAGCAAGATCTGTAGTTTTTTCAGTGATAACTTAATTATACGGACTAGAAAACCTTTTGTGTAATGTTCCGGGGGAAGTATAGCAGAGGGATACCAGCTCCTCTTTGGCTATTGTTTCAAAGCCTCTGACAGCAGAGAAAATGAGGCCACATTGGATATCTGGAATTTGGCTTGGCACTGAAAATGTCTTTTAATGATGGCAGATGAATGTTGACAGATTTAACAGAAATAATGGCCTTACATGTGGCCATTTCATCTAGTTTTAGATGAAAGGCTGAAATATAGGAATGAACAAAATAGTTATGGATGGATTCCAGCTATCAGATTGCCAAAAATAAGATTTCTGGTTGAGAGACTCTGAAAGTGTGATCCTGATGCTCTTTGTTTCTGCTGGGGAGATGTGTCCCATATAACACCTGCTTTCTGTCCTGCGCTTATGGCAGAATTTCTTTTTTGAGGGGCCCTAACCCCAAATTCTGATTTGAACCTTTTCTAATCTCCATGGCTCAAATGGATACAGTTTATTGGGGCCATCAAACTGAATATATTGTATATTTTCACTCACATATGGTATCTTTCATCCAAGGATCTCAAAGCACATTATAAATGTTAAGCAATTAGTTACGGCTTCCAACAATCCAGTGAGTTATGTGACTAATAATATGTCTGTTTTATACATGGGAAAACCTGATTTGATAGAGTTTAAGGCCAGAAGAGATCATTATGATCATGTAGTCAGACCACATATATAGCACAGACCATAGAATTTCATAGTTATTCAGGCCTATATTTTGTGGTTCAGCTAAAGCATCTGAGTCAGGAGAGGTTATCCAAGCTCACACCGCGACTGGGATTACCCATTGACTTTAACAGAGCAGTGCCAATTTTCACCAGCTGAGACTCTCCCAGTATTATGAAGTAGCATTATAATATTTTCAGCCATAATAACTGTTAGTTCAAGCACCTCAACTACCTCTGCTGCTGGGTCAGAGCTTGGGACATGTTGCAGAATTTGTTAGATTTTTATGGATGGTTCAAGTCACACCGGGACTGAAACAAACTGATGGCCAGTAGCATCTGACCAGAGACTTAACATATGTTCTTGAAGTTTGGTTGAAAATAATGGAAAGTTGAGGGGGAAAATGGGATTATGCATCAGAGAGAAGATAAAAGAAAAGCTCCTGGAATGCATTATATATAAAAGAAAGACAGGTATATGGTGAAACAAAGAGAAGTAAATGGACTTGGAGAACTTAGGAGCTCTGAGCGTACATGTGATCAAATACTTGAGATATCAAGAAATTCAGTCATTATTAAAATAGAGAATCATTCAAACAAATTAAACGTGATTTGGAAGTACAGAGGTGGGTGTGTGTGTGTGTGTGTGTGTGAGAGAGAGAGACCGTGTGTGTGTGACAATATATATGAAGAAGAACATCATGCCTCAAAGAAAGAATTGACATTTGCAGTCTGGCTACCTGTAATTGCTTTGGATTGAAGTAAAAGCAATACTAAAAGGCAATAACAGGAAATGGTTTATGTTGAAACTCCTCAGCCAGGATTAGACAACAGATGGAAATGTCTCTTCGGATAGAGAGGCTTAATTAGCCAAAGGGCTCAAGGTGGTCTGGGCTTACTCTGATATCAAATGTTGAATCAAGGATGGCAGGTTACAGAACTCTTGGCTTATATAGTCCGCAGGAGGGTGGGGGCAGGAAATTTGTGGCTTATCTGGATATAGTTGTTGGAAGTAACACATGACAATTGTTAAACCGTAAAAAAAAAGGGTAAATGTTAAAGGGACCAGGGTTAAAATAAAGTGTTGGTGTCAATACATCAACTGCCCTAGTTTTTACACTCATCTAATTGGGTAGTTCTCACTCAGAGTAATATGTAGGACTGAGGCCCTCACTTGTAAACTCCTCTGGAAAAGGACAATGTCACCTTCTGCCTGTCAGTGCCCACGCAAGGAACCCAGTGCTGACTGGAGGTTCTCTCAATGCTACTCTAATAGAAGGCTAAGATTTTTCAAGGCTACCTAATGGGAATTACGTGTCCAAATCCCTTCACATTAAACAGCTCCTCTATAGCTCAAGTTGGGCAGCTGAAGCTGAGGCACCCAGAATTATGGATCCCTTTGGAATATACAGTCCTCTTCACGCAGGAAGGCTGTGGCCAGGCCAGAAATAGAAGCCTGGCATAGCTGTGCCTTAACAGCTTTTAGTATTTGTCTTTGTACTGTGGAAGTGTCTCAGAGCCACAGTCCTGGACCAGACCCCATTCATAGAATCCTAGAAGTGTAGAACTGGAAAGGACCTCGAGAGGTCATCTAGTCCACTCCCCTGCACTCAAGGCAGGACTAAGTAAAATCTAACCAACTCTGATAGGGGGTTGTCTAATCTGCTCTTAAAAACCTCCAGTAATAGAGATTCAACAACCTCCCTAGGCAATTTATTCCAGTGCTGAAGTATTCCGAGAGGAAGTTTTTTCTAATGTCCAACCTAAACTGCCCTTGCTGCAATTTAAGCCCTTTGCTTCTTGTCCTATCCTCAGAGGTTAACAAGAACAACTTTCCTCCCTCCTCCTTGTAACAATCTTTTATGTATTTGAAAACTGTTATCATGTCCCCTCTCAGTTTTCTCTTCTCTAGACTAAACATTGTGCTAGGCTGTGTGTACATGCAAACAAAAAGATGGCCCCTGCCTCCAAAGAGCTTACAAACTAAGACAAGAGACAACATGTGGATAGAGGTGGGAGAGCCTAAGGAAACAACTACAGGGCCTTCCTTCCTTCTCCAGAGCTGTGCTGTATAGAATTGTAAATTTGTGTTTTTCCTAAAATTTTACATAGTATTTTATTCATTTTCTGTGTCCCTCAAGCTGCCTGTGATGTGGTGTAAATTAGACTAGAGAGCTATCTGGTAAAAGTGCATTGTTTAATACCCAGTAAGGAAATAAGTCTTATAATTACAGTTAGAATTGTAGAACTGTAACAGTCTTACAGCTAACCGTGCACGCCGCCTGATACTGGGGAAGGAGATGGAGAAGATGGATTCTTATTCTGTATTTAAATAGCAAGCAGCAGTTTACAACACCGACATTGTAGACCTTTATTGTTAGCAGTTGTAGAGCAGCTGAAAGGCTCATAGGCTCTGTCGTTCCCTAGTACTTAACAACTGTCCTGGTTTATAAAGTAATTTATATCACTAGTGGAATGTACAACCCATTGGCACTTGTGAGGGTACATATTTAGTTGGGTACTGGATAAATGATAGTCAGTGTTAAAATAATCGCTTTCTATCGTATTAGCATGGCCAATAGGCATTCCCACTCCAGCCTCAGAACAGCATGACTGCCAAAATATTCCGTTACTTGACTCTTCGCTGCATGTGCATCTCCAAGAGCTGTATTTATGGATCATTCTCTGAATTAGACATGGAGGAAAGAAGAACACAGAGGGAGCAGGGCTTTGTGCTTCGGCATTTCACTAGGAGTCACACAACATGGGTTAAGTTCCCAGATGGGCTTGTGTGACCTTTGCCCTCACATGACCTGCCCAGTTTTCAGGAGAGCTCAGGGTCAGACTTTCAAATGCTCAGCACCCAAAATTAGGGCCAGATTTTCATAAGAACTCATCATTTCTATAGATACCAAATAAGGGCCTGGCTCTATGAAGTGCTTATGGCCAGATTTTTGAAAAAACCCAGCTGAGATCTTCACCCCTTGGAGCTCCTTTGAAAATCTGACCTTGAATCTCTCTGCCTTGGTTCCCCATCTGTAAAATGGGGATAATAGTACTTCCCTTCTCCCACCCTTTGCCTTGTCCATTTTGACTATAAACTCTTCAGGGAGAGACTCTCTAACTATATGTTTGTACAGCACCTAGCACAATGGGATCCCAATCTCCACCATGGCCTCTAGATGCTATTGTCAGACAAATAATAATAATGTGATGAAATGGTGTCCCATGATTAAAGTATGTTCGTGTCAGAGACAAAAACGAAGTGAAGTTGATAATTTGTGCCAATTTAAAATGGTTGCAGGCTTGACCCCTTCTCCAGTCAGGAAGGTGCCTGTGGCAGTGGCCAGATAATTGAATTCTAAAGCAGACTGGGATACTTGGGACTGCTTATTTGCATATTAATACCCAGAATGCTTTTCCAGCTTGGAGCTGTATCTACACAGCTGTGGTCCACTAGCTGGAATCATGGGTGGCTTTCCCCCACCTTTACCTTCCTGACCTCACTGGTTTAATTTATTGTGAAATCCAGGTGAACTGCTCTCTGTGCCTCGCTCTTTGTTCGTCATTAATTGAAAAGTTTTTCTAGGAAGGCTGAATAAAGAGTGCCTTGTATTCTCCCCTCATCAGTTTCCAGGGATACACTCAGAAGTCCTTTGGGATTTGCATTTTTGGGGGGTTTATTACTGATGAACAAATGGCATTCTGTGGAAAATCAAATTAATCAAAGATTAACGAGCGAGAGAAGGGACTGTGCCTCTGGGCACAGCTGAATTGCCAACACTTAATTAAGAAACATTCTCCAAAACAAACAGTGAGTTGCCATGCACAGCCTCCCTGCCCTCTTTTAGCAATTGCTCCCTAGGCATCTAGCTATAGTTCTATTCTAAGGAAATTTCACTGTGGTTTTGCTCTCTGTAAGGGGCTTGTACCTGCAGTATAAAATTTATACCCATTGGAAAGCAAGATGGTTGAAGTGTTTGTATTTTCACAAACACTGTACGTGGGGCTGGTAAATGGAAGATTTCATTGTTAATCAGCTCTTCCATACAGGGGCAGTGTAGTTCTCAAAGCACTTTGTAAAGAAAGGTTAGCCTCATTATCCTCATTTTACAGATGGGAAAACTGAGGTATGCACTATTGAAGTAGCTTGCCTAAGGTCACAGAGGGGGGAATTGAAGCCAAATCTCCTGGGTCCTAACCCAATGCTCTCTCTGCTGGACCATGCTGATTGGTATGGTTTAGCCTTCTCTTAAATACATGAGTTACCAGGAGTCTTTCACTGAAAGCAGCCATCCCATTATTGCATCTGTGGATTTTTTTCTCAAGGCATGTCTGCACCTGTGGGGTGGGGAAGGAAGAGTCAAAGGAAGGGGAGCTGCCAACTAATAGCAGGAAGGTGGTGAAAATTACAGAATTAGACTCATCAGTATGGCTGTGCAATGGGTCTAAGTGCAGAAGTGCCCTAGACTTGGTGCTACCAGAGAGCAGGCAGCGGGGAATGGGAAGAAAGCAAAAGGGATTCGGACACTTAGCCCAAAACCTCTTTTTTCAATTTTCTCTTGCTTGTTTCAGAGGCGGGAGCACAGAAACGGGGCTCGCGCTGAAATACGTTCTCCAGAAAGGTTTCCCTGGTGGCAGAAATTCCTCTGTCCCTGAAATCCTGATCATCCTCTCGGACGGGAAATCACAAGGCAATGTAGCAACACCCGCTAAGCAGCTGAAGGACAGGGGTACCACAGTATTTGCTGTGGGAGTCAAGTTTCCAAGGTAGAAAATTGTCTCTTGGGGGGCAGGGAGTGGTGCACTGCTAACAGACTAGCCATTGCCTTCAGCAACTAAGTCCCCTGAGCAAGACCAAGTGGGCGAGGGGCAATCACAGAGTCGGAGCAGCAATTTGGGGAGGGACACATGGGTGCTGGGAGTGCGGGAGCGCTCCCTGGCTTGAAGTGGTTTCCATCATGTATAGGGTTTACAGTTTAGTTCAATGGCTCTCAGCACGCCCCACTGTACAAATTGTTCCAGCCCCCCGGAGGGATATGAATGTGGAGTAGGAGTTCATTTTGGGAACGGGGTGAGCGAGAAAGAAGGGCGCTTGGAGGGAGAAATGCTCTGTTATGAGCATGTGTCTTTAGAAATGTCAATGGATTTTTAAGAGAAGATACACTGGGGTCCTGTGTGGATGTAAAGCTACATCACTCGTAGTTCTGAGTGTTTGTTCTTTTTAATGCCCATCCAGGAAAATAGCTGTGACTGCAAAGGGTCTGTTCCTGTTCTTTAATGCCAGAAGATTGTATTAACATGTCCTGTCACCTGTGCAGGTGGGAGGAGCTGCACACGCTGGCCAGTGAACCAGCTGAGCAGCATGTGCTGTTTGCTGAACATGTGGACGATGCTGCCAATGGCCTATATAGCACCCTCACCAGTTCTACTGTCTGCAGTGCTGTCTCTCCAGGTAACTATGCCACCCTGGTGCATGTTTACTAATGACTGTCCTGCCTTTCACTTCTGTATGGGGATTGTCAGCTTGGCCTTTCACTTCCAGAGCGTCTCTCTAAAGCTGGCGCCTCTAACACAGCTCTCTAAAGCTGGCGCCTCTAACACAGCTCACAGGGTAGCACAGTCTACCCCTTTGGGAGAGGTCTTCTCCTCTGTCTAGAGGAAAGAAATGGAGGCTGTTGAGAGGTTAGCATCAATCAAAAGATGACTTCGTGGCACAGCCACACCCCTGTGTGCGCTGCTCAAACCCCAGGGACTCTGTGTGAGAGGGAGGATGGTCCAATGATCAGCAAACTCTCCTAGGTCTTAGGAGACCTGGGTTTTGAGTCCTTGCTCTGCCACAGTCTTACTGTGTGACCTTGGTCAAGTCACTTAGTCTCTCTGTACCTCAGTCCCCCCATTTAAAGTGGGGATAATTCCTACCTCAAACGGGCGTTGAGGATAAATACATTAAAGACAGTGAGCCACTCAGATATACAGTAGTGGGGGTCATATAAATACCTAAGATAGATGAGAGGTGAAAATCCCCTAAGAACTACAAGTGATCATGTAAGTCAAATTGCTGAACCCACTACTGGAAGGTGCTTAGCTAGTACAGTGATGATGGTGGTATAGGAAGCTCTGTAGAACAGAAGAACAGGGGTGGACTTGGTGGACATGGGTGCAGGTATTGTGCCAGAACAATGCAGACTACAGAAGCTGCCCCCAGGAATCCAGTAAAGGGCTGACCTGCCCACCAGCAACAGGTTTACTTGTTTTGGGGCATCACCGAGGGACTTGTCGAAAAGCTGCAATGAACTCTCTTTGCTGGACAATGAGACAAGCTGGCATTGCTGTGGCTTGAGCAATATCCCAGCTGTGTCAACTCCCACTCCCAGACAACTTCACTTGCAAACAAATGCACCAGCTATTTTGTGTGCACTCTTTGTGCCAGGTTGCAAGATTGAATCTCACCCTTGCGAACGCAAGACACTGGAGACCGTGAAAGAGCTGGCTGGGAACTATATGTGTTGGAAAGGGTCAAAGAGACCAAATGCGGTGCATACATCTCTCTGTCCATTTTACAGGTAAGTCAGCGAGCCTTCTCTCTTGAAGTTAGTAGTGCACACAGAGTGAGAGCGCACACACCTCCATTGTTAGGTACGATGACTTGGGTTTATGATTTACTGTAACTTTATATTAATATTTATATTACAACAGCACCTAGTGGCCCCAGCTGAGGTTGGGACAGGCTCTGTACATATACATAGAGAAAGTCTGTGCCCTGAAGAAGGTGCAATCTAAGCAAAGGGTGAGAGGGGAAACGGAGGCATGGAGAGGCAAAGTGACTTGCCCAAGATCACCCAGTAGGTCAGTGGCAGAGCCAGGGTTAGAACCCAGATTCCCAGGCAGGTTTCCTTGTCACTGGACCATCCTGCCTGTTATGTAAATAGCCTCATTTATGTATTTCACACAATTCCTATTTGTGCAACACTTGCTTATATTCTATGCAATAAAGAGAGTGGATAAATCCCAGATACTCTGTTGACCCTGAACCAAATCCAGCTAGTTGTGATATTAGCCAGGCAAGCTTTTATTTTCAGGGAAGTCCTTTTATCCTTACTTAATGGAACTGGGAGATGCTGGGCTATGGAGAGGCTTCAATAGCTGTCTGGAAACAGCTCCCACTCATACCGAAGAAAATATTAAGCAGATAGGTTGCAAAAAAGAGAAGTATATTGTCAGGTCAGTGGCAGCAAGTTGCACAAGGAGATTCCTCTCGCGGTGAGGTGAGGATGTATTTGAAAGATTGTGAAACTTATCAGATCCTTAAAGAAATCGAATGCCTTCTAAAAGCTTCATTACTGCAATTTGTACAATTAATGAAAGAATTTTAAAGTGACCTGCAAAGAAAAATGTAGGTTTGTGCTCTTTTTTTGTTTGTCTGATATATAAAGAGAGCCTGAAGGGGAGGGAGGCAGAAGGGGAGGAATTGTTGGTGTTTTTTCTCTTGCTTGTTTTTTATACTAGAAATTCAGGTCTTGTTTTCCAGACTAGTAGGGTTATGACATCAAATACAAAGGAAGTGAAACTTGACTCATTGAGCTGGGAATCTATTTTTATTCAGGCTGTCCAGAATCTCAGATCTTTTTTTTAAAACTCCAAATGTCTAACAAACCCCTGGAAGGACAGATCTGTTAAAGAGTGAGCATCCTTTCCTCTTCAATGAAGGGCTGAGAAATGCCACACTACACTCCTCTAAGCCCCAATGAGTCCTCCAGCAAAACTAGGGAAGATTAGACTTGACAAGGCTGATCTTTCTAAAGTTTTAAAAAAATCGGGAATCCATCCACCTTTTAAAACAAAACTCTCCTACCCCCGGCATGTTATAAATAAGGCTACGTTTTAGTCACAGATATTTTTAATAAAAGTCATGGACAAGTCACGAGCAGTAAACAAAAATTCATGACCCGTGACCTGTCCATGACTTGTACTATATACCCCTAACTAAAACTTGGGCCAGGGATGCTCCAGGGGGAATGCTCTGGGGGGGTGGGCATCGGTGCGTGGCCCGGGACCCCCGCTGGGGTTGGAGGGGATGGCAGGCTGGAGGGGAACCGCAGCCAACAGGAGCTGCGGGAGTGTGCCTGCAATCACGGGCAGCGCGCAGAGTCCCTTGGCCCCTCTGCCTAGGAGCTGCAGAGATATGCCAGCCGCTTCTGGGGGAGCTCCCCTACCCCCTGAGTTAAGCGCTGCCCTGGAACCCAACTCCCTGACCCAGCCCTGATCCCCCTCCCACACCTAAACTGCTGCTGCTGTTCGGGCAGCCCCTGAGCAAACCACACTGGCCCCTGCAAAAAAATCTGTGACTTCCGTGACCGACACGCAGCCTTAGTTATAAACAAGCAAAAAAGGGGGACACACATCATTTATTTTTCCCTTCCAGGTCACCTTTAAGATGAGATGAATGGTTTCAAAAACATGATCAATGAGCATTCGCTCATTGATCTCATATGGAGGGGTTCTTGGGAATCAAGAGTTGCTTTCTAGTGCAGCCCTTGCTCTCTTATTAACTGGAAAAGTTAGAGCTGGTTGGAGATCAGAGTTTCCGTTTCATGGGAAGTTGCAACATTTCAAAATTTGTTTTTATTCAGATTCAGAACAAAAGATTGATATTTCCCACAGAATGAAAAGTCCAAAAAATGACAATTCAGAACTATTGAAATATCTGGTATTGTAAAAATATTATAATATCAAATATTTTAATTCGGCATATGAAATAATTAGTAGTCTAAACAAAGTGAAGCAAATTGATAGTCAAAATGATTTGTTGCAACTTTTTCACCTCAAATTTTAATTCTGTCAAAAATCAGTCTGTTCCCACAAAATGTTTCAATTTTGATGAAACTGCATTTTTTGAGGGAAAACTCATTTGTCAAGAACTTTGATTAAATGGTCAGCCTTGCAAATGCCTTCTTAATCTTTTAAATACTTGGTCAGTCCAATTTCATATTTTGTACCAATCTTTCTATCTTAGTTGGAAAAGAGTCTTGATCAAACACCCGGCCAGATGCTACCGAACTACATGCCCAGGTAGGACATGACCTTTCTGAAAAATCTCATTACAGTCTAAGAAAAAAAAAGTGAACTAAACTCAGGTGATTATTTTAAAATCACATTCAGTTCCTCAGCAAGGATCAGAAAAGCAGGGATCATAATTCTTAATGGATGTTCGTGAGGAATAGACCCTTTACCAGTCTTTCATTAACCACTAAAGAAAAGAGTGAGATTTCTTGTTTCACTCATGTTCTTGACCATGAAATCATTCTGCTGGCTTAAAACAGTTACCTTCAGTCTCTCCCTTCACTCCTGGAGGAGCTGGTTCACCTTTATTAGTCTGAAATTCTTCACGTTCTTGTTTGTTGATAGAATCACACCGTTCCCAAATTACTATTGTCATCATCTGCATAAGCCAGCAAGAAATAGTGTCCAAGTATTGCATTAGTTTGGGGACTGCATTGCTACCAACGTGGAACGTTTCTGCTCAAGTTGTAGTTGAGTGAGATGCCTTCAGCCATGTAATTTGGAACCATCAGTATCATTCATTTAAGAGGGAACCTGACACTTAGTAGTTGTGTAACTTGGTTTTGTGGTTGTGTGGGAATAGCTCCTCTGGTTGATTTACCAGTATGACAGACCACTCAGTGGTTCAAATCATGGAGTGACCTGATTGCTTTATTTTCCTTGAATGCCCTTTGAAAATACATCCTCATCATTTAAGCCCCCTGATTCGGAAGGGAAATGGAGATTCCTCGATCTAGCAAAATTTGTATGTGCTACACAAGCAATGCAGTAAATTCTGGAGGAAAGGGTAGGATTTGAAAATGAAATGGATAGCTGCCAAACTTGTTCTGATACCGTCAATGTATGGTGTCACCATACCGTGCTACGGGGACACACCATAAATACAGCCCAGCAGATGAAATGTTCAGTGGTAGAGTGTTTTAGACTGCTTGCATTCACTATTTCTCATGGTAGCTTTTGAGCAAAAAGTGTTGTAAGCCACACCCGAGAACCATCCATGCTGAATATGCACCAAAAGGTATCTGAACAGAATGGACCAGGTTCTAATCTCTTCTCTGCTGGTGTGAATCTGAAGGAACCGCACTGATTTCAATAGTTACTTCAGATTTACACCAGTGTAACTCCAGTGGAGTTACTCCAGCATTTCCCTGATGTAAGTGATTTAACTCCACAGCAATTCAAGTGCAAGGTGGCAAACACACGTAGGAATGGACAGCTTTATAGAGCTGACACTGAATTGTAATGTGGTCTTACAAAACCGTGCTTAAAGAGAGCGGGCTTTTTTAAATGGTTGGAGCTGCCCTTGTCAAGAATATATTCATCAAGTGTAAATAAGTTAAATTTAAGAAATTACTGAGTTCTGCTAATGGGGCTTATCTTTGTACATTATTAATACTCAAGCAAAGCTACACAGACATAGAGAAAGAGACCTTTCTGCAAAGCGAAGGACAATTACCTTCCAAATGCCCTAGAGCCCATCTGACTCTGCATACTCTCAAAACACTTATAGCTAATCCACTGTGTAGCATGACTGCTGTATTTTCTCTCTGGGCCCAACCCAGGCTCTCTCCTTCTCCTTCTCGGGTGCCTTTGCAGATCCCTGTGATTCCCAGCCTTGTCACAATGGAGGCACATGCGTTCCAGAGGGATTAGAAAGGTACCACTGTGTGTGTCCTGTTGGATTTGGAGGAGATGCCAGCTGCGGTATGTGGGGCCTAAACCTGGTCCACTGGTGCGGTGTTAGCTCTTGAATCTGTTGATTGGGACCATCCCTCTGCAGCCTGCCTTCCTGTAACAGCCCTGGTATAGAATTATAATGCAGTTTGCTGGATGGGGTTGAGGCTAACCACTGCCTTTTAAACCCTGCTCAGAGGGCTGAGTTTGTTTTCCTACCGCTTGATACAGGGCTGTAGGGCTGTCAGTGACTGGGACTTGCTGCCTAGTGTTACCATTTCCAGGGGATGATCCTTTCTGCTCTCTCCTCAGAGCCACTGTGGCTGCAGAAGGCACCAAGAAATGAGTCCCACCAGTGGTGCCAATTTAGATGTTTCCAGGAGGTGGCAAATTCCGGTCCTTCTCCCTACCCCTCTTAAGAACCCTGTTCTGGTCCCTGCTTGCCTCTTCCTCCCCCTCTCCCCAGCAGGGTCCCTGAGTCTCCCTCTGCTAGGGAGTGTCCCCTGTTACCCACACCGTGCATGAGCCTGTCACCGGGAGTCGGTTCTCCGCGGACTCCCCTGGACTCTGCCCTACAGGCACAGACTCCCCATGTGCTAGGTCACAACTCCATTTGGCCAGGCTGCCTCCCCATCTGTCAGGAGGGGCAGCTGGGTCAAATTTCATTGGCACTGCGAGCACACAGCCTGAACGGTGTGCTCCAGCAGCAGCAGCTGGGCTGGGTTAGTACAGGACCATTGCATGCTAGCCATGCTGCTTACCCCGTGTCCCCTGAACTTTGCCTGTGCAACTTTGATCAAGTGCAAAAATCGGGGGGGGGCATTTTCCATTCCCCACCAGTAGCTGTCATTGAGTCCCACTATATTCAGAAGCCCCTGTGAACTTGGTCAACCGCAGGGGTGGGCAAACTCCGGACCTCCAAACATTTTAATCTGGCCCTCGAGCTACCACTGGGAAGCGGGGTCCGGGGCTTGCCTCACTCCGCACAGCTCCTGGAAACAGTGGCATGTCCCCCCTATGTTCCCTACACGTAGGGGCAGCCAGGGGACTTCACATGCTGTCCCCACCCCAAGCACTGCCCCCTGCAGCTCCCATTGGCCAGGAATCGCGTAAATGGGAGCTGCAGGGGCGGCAGCTGCAGATGGGGCAGCACGCAGAGCTGCCTGGCCTCACCTCCACATAGGAGCCAGAGCAGGGACATGCCGCTGCTTCTTGGAGCTGCTTAAGGTAGGCACTGCCCAGAGCCTGCATCCCAACCCCCTCCCACGTCCCAACCCCCTTCCCCAGCCCTGATCCCCCTCCCTCCCTCCAAACCCCTCGGTCCCAGCCCGGAGCAACCTACTGCACCCACCCCTCATCCCCAGCCCCACCCCAGAGCTCGCACCCCCAGCCAGAGCCCTCACGCCCTCACACACCCCAACCCCCAATTTCATGAGCATTCATGGCCCACCATACAATTTCCATACCCAGATGTGGCCCTCGGGCCAAAAGGTTTGCCCACCTCTCATCTACAGCCTCATTGGGGCTCCTTCCATCTCAGTATGCGGGGAAATCTGGAAGCAGGGCATGAGAAGTGGATCCTGCTGAAGGAGGGGGACAGCTGAAATACCTGTGCCTTGGCTCTGCACCCCTCGCCTCTCCTCCCTCAGATCCCTGAAGAACTTACCTGCACATATGGGCTGGGAATTTCAGAAGGGATTAATGATTCTGGGTGCCCAAGAATGTTTTGTACAAGAGGAGAATCATGCCTCAGGATGCCATTCGCTTTGGTAGGATGCCACAGAAACCTCAAGGGGCTGAGGAATACATTGCAGGAAGTCATCCAGTGGTTAGGGCATCTTCTGATACAACTTGAGAAACCTTAAAGGGGTGGGTGCTCCACATTTTCTGAGATCAGACTCCTTTAAGGTTTCTCAAGTTGTATCAAAAGATGCCCTAATCACTGGATGACTTCCTGCAACGTATTCCTCAGCCCCTTGAGGTTTTTGTGGCATCCTACCAAAGCGAATGGTGTCCTGAGGCATGATTTTCCTACTGTACAAAACATGTTGCCCAACACATTGTTTTGTTTTCTTGACAGAGAGGCTCTGGGGTGCATTCTCTCTCTCCTTCAGATCATTGGGATTGCAGGAGACCCACATGATGTGCTTGCTTATTTTTTGATTTACATGCAGTTACTCACTTCCTTTGCTTTCAGCACCGAAGTTGAGTCTGGAGTGCAGCGTGGATCTTCTTTTCCTGGTGGACAGCTCATCTGGTACCACCTTGGAGGGATTCCTGCGCTACAAGGCCTTCCTGAAAAGGTTCATTCGGGCAGTGTTGAGCAAAGACTCCCCAGCAAACGTTGGAGTGGCCCAGTACAGCAGTGATGTCCAGATCCCGATCAAAGTGGGCAAGTACAAGGATGTGCTCGGTCTCATGAAGAGCGTTGACACCATGCATTTCAGCGGAGGGGGAACCTTCACCGGCAAAGCCCTTCGGTATGTCACGCAGCATGGCTTTAAGAGTGCTCCGGCCTTCGCGGATGTTCACGACGATCTCCCGCGTGTGGTTGTCTTGCTCACGGATTCGGAGTCCCAGGATCCTGTGGTAGAAGCAGCTAAATATACCAGGGGCAGAGGGCTCTTCCTAATTGGCGTGGGCAGCGACTTCTTAAGAGCAGAGCTGGACAACGTGACTGGGAATCCAAAGCGGACGGTTGTCTATTCCAACCCCTCGGATCTGTTTAACAAGATCCCTGAGCTGCAGAAAAAAATCTGCAGTGTAGACAGTCATCCAGGTAAGGCCGTGGCTATAGATTGTAGTGCAGTGACAGAATAACTGCTCAGGGGAGTTCAAGATTTAAGGAGTAGGATGGTTAAAAGAATGAACTTCGGTTCCCCCACATAACAATGGTCGGGAATCCAGTGATACTGATCCATAATCGGCAGAGCACTCCCTGGACCTTGAGAGCTAGCTTGTGTCAGGGACTAGAGAGGCTGAAAGCACTGAACCCCTCCCATGCAAAGACCTATATTCCCCAGCTGCAAGGGTGGCTGTGTCTAAGACTGCTGCTTCCTCGGGCACCCATAGGCACGAATCAATCAAAAAACGGTAAGGACGGGTTGTGGTCCGCTCCCAACTCCTGTACCAGCCCAGAGAGCTGGCTAGCCAGCGGGCTAGTGGTATGGGGAGGGGGGGCTCATATGGATCAAGTATTATGTGCCGCTGAAAGGGGTAAACTGCAACATGTGCACTCTCTATCTGCGGTGGGGATTAGGGGGAGGAAATGAAGACCCTAGGGCATCATCCAAGCTTCATCTGGGGCGCTGCGGCTCTAGTCTGCCCCCGCCTTGTGGGCCTGGAAGCTGGTGAACTATTTCACTGGTCGGTGCACCAAAGAACGCTCTCCAGTCACAGGATTTCACTCCCTTTTCTTCAGGGACTCAGTGTTATTTCTTCAAAATAAAACTGTTTAACACAAGTTCGACATCTCAACCGTGAACTTCCCCTCTGATCCAGACCCTTCTGCAGGAGTTTGTTTACTCCGTACATCTACCTGGGCATCAAGGCAAGCCTCTCTGCTCCCTCCTTCTTCCTAGACAGCTCCCTACAGGATTACGCTCCACAGGCTGCCTGCCTGGGAGCCACATATAACCTGGGATATTTCCACTGCTTCAGAGACGCCTGTAGGAGCCTTCCCTGTTCCCTGCAGTTCTCTAGCTCAAATGAGCTATTTGCTGCCTGTTATGAGGACAAGGTGATCTCCAAGCTATCACCTGATTCCTGGCTTCACTGCTTTAGCTGGGGGGCAGCTCATCAGACACAGGTGAGGCTCTTAAAGTGCTGGCCACTCTGTGACAGGGCCTCAACGGCACAGTCTAGCCATAAGTAATTAATCCTTCTAATGCCCCTCAGAGTGAGGGTAGTCAGAATTATGATCTCTGTTTTATGGATGGGGTAACTGAGGCACAGAGAAGGTACGTATCTTGCCCAAAGCTTCCCAGGGAGTCATTGTCCGAGCCTAGATCAAACCCGAGTGTCCTGGCTCCTCCAATTATGGGCTCAGACCACAGGGCCAAGCCTCTGACTGAAAAAGGAATACCCTTGGTACAGAGAGACAGAAGGTGCATGAGGTAATATCTTTTATGGGACGAACTTCTCTTGGTGAAAGAGACAAGCTTTCGAGCTTAGGCAGAGCTCTTTGTCACATGTGGGAAAGGTACTCAGGTAGTCACAGCTAAATATGAGGTGAAACAGGTTGATCAGCATAAGTAGTTAACACATATAGTAAGAGACCATTCAAGGTTAAGGATTTGGCTCGAACCAGTGTAACAAGTGGAAAGAAACTAGAAATATAATCTAATGCAGTAGCGCTTGTGTTGATTGTATAGCTGGGGATTATCTTCTCTAGCTGCTCATTACGAGGGGGCTGTATATTCCTGTAACAATGAATTGTGAATTGCAATCTGCCATTCCTCATAATGCCGCAGTTCATTACTGCCCAGTAGTGATGTGTTTGCCTACGGGAGGTGGCTCCTCTGCTTTGCTCGGTCAATAATGACTATATTCTGAAAGGCTTAAAGTTTGCTCTCTCCTTTCCAGGCTGCCAGTCCCAGTCTCTGGATCTGGTTTTTGCCTTGGATGCCTCAGCTGGAGTTGGCAGGGAGAACTTCCTGCGGGTGAGGAACTTTGTCAGTAGCAGCTCTCTGCAGTTCAGTATCAATCGGGACGTCACCCAGATCGGCCTCGTGGTCTACGGCAGCAGGGCTCGCACTGCATTTGCCCTGGACGCGCACGTCACCAGCTCAGCTCTCTTTCAAGCCATCAGCCAAGCGCCTTTCCTTGGTGGCTCGGCCTCCGCGGGCAGAGCCTTGCTGCACATTCATGATGACGTCATGACCGTTCCAAAGGGGGCGAGGCCCGGGGTGAGCAAGGCCGTGGTTGTGATCACGGACGGGAGCGGCACCGAGGATGCAGTAGTTCCAGCTGAGCAGCTGCGGAGCGACGGCGTGTCGGTGTTTGTTGTCGGGGTTGGGGGTGTGCGGAGGGAGACGCTGCTGAGGGTGGCCGGTTCTCCCAACTGCCTGGTCCACGTTTCATCTTACGATGATCTGCGCAATTACAAAGACTTTATTATGGAAAGAATATGTGAAGGTGAGATGGCTTTTGGCCTCCCTTTCTCAGTTCTCCCGCTGCACCCAGAAACCAGCTGTTAGAAGCCTTATAAAACGGACAAACCCAAGGGTCTCACTGAGCCCCGGTCCAGTCCATGAGGTTTGGTTTGGCTACTTTACCAGTTGTGGTTGCCTGTTGTAATCCTATTTGGGTTAAATCAGCTTCACTCTGTGTGTTAGAGGCACAAGAGAGTTTAAATCTTGCTTTAAATGTGTAGGATGTCACATACTACATACACTGCAAGGTATCCAATGCAATGTTCTTACTGGGGGTACGAAGAGGGGACGTATTTCAAAGCAGCTGGTGACAAGTTCCTTATGAGCCACAAGGAAGGTTCCAACACCTGATTGTGTGAGTCCTTTATCTCAGCAGGCTTTGGATCCAGATCTGAAACTTGTGGCTCAGTCCCATCATTTCCTTCCTGTTGTCCCCTGTCCACTTGCTGCTCACGGCTGACTTGCTTGCCCTTGTAGTTACTGGCCACTAACTAACCATGGTAGCTTTAGGTTGAACGTTTAGGTGGGGCGACTGTAACTTGCCTTCATTGCAAACGGTCCCCGTTATTAGGGGCACTTTTGCGAGTGCGCTCAGTGTTCTGCTGTTCAGTGAAAAGCTGCTGTCTGAGGGCTCACGTGCACACAGCCTGGGGCACTGGAGAAGGGGGAACACATAGAAGGGGCTATTCCATTAAATTAAGAGCCCTCATAAGCACGTGGACCTGACATGGACAAAAATTTATTTTCTTCATTGTCTTTTTTTCTCCTTATTTTTCTGAATTGGGCAATCCCCCAGATAGCTGGGGTAAAGCCCCCATTGCTAACTATGGAACGGTGTCCTTTTATGATCAAAGGAAAGGGGGATAAAGGAATAACTTTCAGCCTTCTGGGGTGTTTTTAAAAAGCTGTTGCTTTGTATTTTCTTATGAGATGTACAGGTAAGTGTAAAGGTAACGACACAGGTGATCTAAAGAGTTAGAGGTGCTTTTATTAAGCAGGAAGAATACAGGTGATGACTGTAAATTAGTTTTAAGAATATACATAGGTACTTGATGTTTATACCCATGTGTTTAGTGCCATAGTTTCAACAGACCCCGGTTGTTAGCAGGCGGGATCGAACCTGGAACTCTAGAGCTAAATGCCTGAGCCTCTACCGCATGAGCTAAAATCCATATGGCTGTTAGCTAAGACTGTACAGCAGACTTGTTAATCGCTCTCTCTAAGTGGTCTCGGTACCACTAGATGGGAGAGAACACCACACACAGGAGGTGTGTGGGTTACACATGCAGCTCCATTGAAATGATTTAAGGCCTGATCCTGCAGGGTGCTGAGCAAGTCAGTAGTGCTGCTTGCAGGAGCTACTCAGTAACTTGCAGCACTGGGCCCTTCTATGGCATATATTTATACAGGGTAAGACTCAATTTATCTTCTTGCCATTTCTCTGTTTTATAATGAAGCCCTGTTGCCAATACAGGCAAATCCAGTGCTTTGAGATCTGCAGCTATATTTATCATCATCTGAATATGGAAAAATGAGGGCGATTAGGTAGGATGGATGGTCTTGAGTTTAGGGCACTAGACTGGGACTTGAGTGATCTGGGCTGTTACCATTTCTGCCATAGATGTCCCGTGTGATCTTGGCAAATGTCCCTTGTCTCCCTGTGCCTTAGTTCCCTGTCTATAAAATGAGAATAATTCTTCCCTGAAGGGATGTTATGGCCATCAATCCTTGAATACTTGGGAAGTGTTCAGTTACTACCAGGATGAGGGCCATATAAGTGCCTAGCCAAATAGAATAACACTTCTATGCCCAGTAACTGCTTTAAAGGTCAAGCCTTTCGATAGATGGGAAATGGTTCTATTGGGTAATTCTGTTTCAGGAAGGAATGAACAACGTTTTCAAAGCACTGCCTTGGCTAAGAGAGATGGCAGATGTGCTAATGTTTTATGAGCAGATAAAGTCGAGATGAAATGGGATTAAACTCTTCCACTTGGAAGGCGGTTAGGCTGAAATGATTATAGATGGTCAGAGGAACATTCTGTAATTGTCTGAAAGCATCAAAGATCAAAAGAGTCCCAGCTGATCCATGTTTCATCTTCAAAGATGCACTTGCCTTTATCCAAGACGGGGGAGAGAGCTTAAAAGCTGGCCCATCAGAAAGTTATCATGTGTGGGCTGCAAAGGCATAATAATCAGCTCATCTTAGAAGGGTCAGTGTATTCTGTTTACCGAGTAGAGTCCTTAGGAATGTATTGCTGGCGTTAAATGGATGTAGGTTAATCACTAATTAATGCTTAGGGGAAAGAAGAAAAAAGGACTGTCAAATCCTCCCCAGCTTTGTCTGTGGGGGAGAGAAGGGAATGTGATGATGCAGAAAGAATTTTGGGGGCATGGCAGATTGAGGAGGCTCTGATCAGCTTTATGGTGAATCACTAGCATGCTGGGGTAGGTGGGGTGGAAGCAGATTGCAATGGATTTTAGGGGTCCCTGCTGCAAAACAAGGGGTCTCTTTCTTTTCTGTGTGCTGAGTATTTATATTGCTTTTCTGACCTTCAGGGTCAGTTCATTCACTTTGGTGGGAGTTTGCCTAAGTAAAGACCTCAGTGTTTGACCTGGAGTGGAGGTGTCTGATTGGGAGACTGCAGGCCCTAAGATGAAGGGATGCCCCACAAGACAAGTGAGTCATGCTTCCCCCACTGAAGAAATGAAATGGCTTAAGTTCCCAAGAGGAAAATGATGTTTACTTGAACTGGCTGGTATGTGAAACAATTGGTGCTCAGGGCATGGCTAATTTTCTGTTTGCACATGAGAACAAACTTCTGGGAATTCCTACAATTAAAATTACGTCCCGTGGACTGAGACAACATGAAAACCTTCTCAGTCACAACCTGCAAATTCCTCCCTGCCGAGAGTCTGGGATGTTTGCATAGCATGTAACAGTGCGACCTTAAAGACCTAGTCAGCTCCTTCTATTCACTCAGTTGCCCTTTAAAGACAAGAGACTGGGAAAGTCAGTAATTCCTCAGGAATTCTCAATACACCAGAGGAGAATGGACTTTTGACTGTGGGTATGCAGTATGGTCGTAGCCATGTTGGTCCCTGTTAGAAAGACAAGGTGGGTGAGATAACATCTTTTACCTCACCCACGTGTTACTTCAATAAAAGATATTACCTCACCTACCTTGTCTCTTTGATTGTGGGTGGCAGAGTACAGAGTGGCCTTAAAGTGCCCCTTCTTCAGAGCTGCTTAATATAGGGCATACAAAGAGAAAGAGCCACAGGGTGATCATGGGTCAGTGTAGGGTGATGTTCCTAGGGCATAGCACTTTACTAGAAACAAGGGGGAATCTTGACCTCTCTGTGCAGTTTTAATAGCAGTTGATGTGCAGTAGAGAAATATGTATTAAGGGTGAAATTCTCCCATGCTCAGAGAAAGCTGATAGGGTCTACGTGTGAGGAAAATTCCACTTAGGCTCTCAGACTTTTGCTTAAGTGTTCAGTAGGTCTTGGCTGTAGAAGAGAAGGTGGCAAAAGTCCATGATTACAGAGCAGAAACACAGCATTTCCTGAATTGCAGCTGTTATTTGCGTGTGCTGGTAACTATTGTTTGTGGGCCAAGGCTGGGGACAAGGACAGTGTAACAGAGAAAAATCTATCATTTCAACTTCTGCTTTAAGCCGGAGACATAATAACAGAACCAGAGGCCATGTGATGATTGCAAAGGCAGGAAAATCATGGGTTCTGATGTTAAAAGTATGTGAAAGGTAGCTTGGATCAAAGGCTAGTGTTTTCAGTGCACTCTTTGACACTCCTCCCGCCACCCCAATTCCTTGACCCCAGCTTGGACAGATGGAGCAGATCAGTGAATTGTTCAGTGTAAAACCTAAATAATGGTCACAGGTCATGGAAGTTGGTACTGGAATCCTGATGTTAATCTTCTGCTAAAGGATGTGCCACTGATGGTTGGCTGGACAGTAGAAATCCACATAGTGTCTGTTGTAATGCAGACGTTGTCTGTGTACGGTAACAAATCCTGTCAAGGAACTTCACCGTGGCCATTTGGATCTTCCTAATGAGAATGTCGATTGAATGCAGGATTTTTCTGTTTCAAAAGCTAAGCCTCTCCTCTCTTGAGCTAAAGGAGATTCTCCAGTGGCTGCTAGTGGTGTAGTTATTACTAACTGTATTTATTGTGACAATGCCCAAGCGCCAGCCAAGAATTGTGCCCCATTGTGCTAGGCCCTGTACAAACACAGAGTTAGTAAAGGACCCCTGCCCTAAAGAGCTTACTGGCTAGAGTAGGGTGACTAAGTGTCCAGTTTTGGACTGGAATACCTGGTCAAAAAGGGATCCTGGCGGCTCTGGTCAGCACTACTGACCGGGCCGTTGACTATCCGGTTGGTGGCGCCAGCCACCATGCTGCACGGCTCCTGGGTTGGGAAGCAGCTGGCATGTCCAGCTCCTAGCCTTAGGGGCAGCCAGAGCGGGGGGTCCGGGTGCTGCCCCACCCACAGGCGCAGCTCCCATTGGCCGGGTCAGGGCAGGGGAGGAACTAGTGCGACTCACGCTCAGAAGGTGGCTGTTGAGGGGTCGCGTAGCACGCACCTGTCCAGCTGCTGCCGGCCCTCTTCTCCTCACGCTCCTCGTGTGGATGGGCTCCAGCTGCGGCACATGCCCTGCGGCGAACCACGGTCTGTCTGTCGCCCCAGTGCCGGCACCCAGGAGTTCGAGGTGTGTGTATCCCCGTCTCAGAATGCTGGGAATGGGGCTGCACCCCCATCCCCTGTTACAGCATCCCTCCCCGCCCCAACCCTCCATCCCCCCATCACTGCATCCCTCCTTGCCCCAACCCCCCCCCACACCCTGATCCCCCTGTCATTGGATCCCTCCACTTCCCACCCCCTGCACTCCCACCCCCCGTCACTGCATCCCTCCCCCGTCCCATCCCGTCCTGCCCCCATACCTACCCATCCCAGCCCTGTACCCCTTACAGTACTCTCCCACCCATCCTCTCCACCTCCCAAAGCCACCACCCCCATGTCCCTCGCTCCCCCTGCAGCCGTGCACCCGTTCACCTCCATACACTGCTGCACTCCCATTATGTCCATATACACCCCTGTGCCCTCCACATCGTCATGCATCTGTAGCCTTCTGCCTCCCCCTGCATCCCCATCCACCTCACATACCCCCCACACCCCCTCCTCTCTCCTTCACTGCCCCCTCTCACACACCCCCTGCTCTCGTTCTTGGCCTCTTTCCCTCCCCCATCCACTCTCCTCCACCCCCATCCCATCTTTTCCCCTCCAGCCCACCCTCCTCCCTTCCCGGCTGGGTGATTTAGGCAGCCCCTGGAAAAGTATATGAAAAAGTGTCTCTGTGTAGGCAAGTGTGTGTGTGCATGTATGCATTGTATGTGTGTAAAAGACTGTGTGTCTTTGTGTAGGGAGCTGTGTATATTGCCACGTGTGTATACCCGTGTGAATAAAATTTGCAGCCTAACTCTTTGACTTTTATTCCTTTTGCTGGCTTGTGCGCAAAAAAATGAGATAAAATATGTGTGTGTTCATTTCATAACAAGTGTTTAAAAGAGCAGGGAAGTCTAAAAGAAATGTATTATTTCTTAAAAAGTGAATGTTGTTGACTAGTAATTGCAGAAGAGCCAATGTATCAGACATTTCTCCCCACCTTTGTCTAGCTACATTATAAACTCTTTGTTGCAGACTCTCTCTTTTTATGTGTATGTCCGGCACCTGCCACCCTGGAGCCCTGATCTTAGTTGGGGTCTCTAGGCACAAAACAACAATAATAAATAATGTGGAAGTATAAGTGTTAGGGCATGCTACATGTGTACACATGAATACACGTGTGTATCTGCATGTAGGGGTGGGAGTCAGTTTGTCCAGATTTATTTATATAGGTATCTGGACAGGTGTGCATTTCAGTGGTTGTGCTCTGTGGATTTGTATTTGGGCTTCAGGAGTGGGCCTTTTTAATGGACCCATTGCAGCTGTGATAATGTGTGGTCCTAATTCCACACACAGAATTACAATATAGGCATTTATGAAATCAAAATATATTTATTGGTCTCTCATTTCCACAATTTACCACCATTGACAAACATGAACTGTCGTCCACTTTCTCATAGATGGAATAGAACTGTTGCACCAATGTTGCATTATACAAAACATTTATACGGATGATGTGACATGAACAACTCAGGTTTTGTACTTGTACAAGAGCAATATCTGACAAGTTATTAAGCAAATACAGCTAAGGGTGGAGCAGATTCTTAGTATCCCTTTTGGATTGCCCATTATCCTCCAAGAAAGTAAAATAGTTCCCCAATTTCTGTTTTACAAGTTATATTCTTACTAGCTGTCTGACTCACCTGCATTTGAAGCTTAAATTCACTTTGACCTATTCACCCTTTTATCATGCATCCATTCTGGAGAGCAACACCAGCATGTAGGAGTATATGTATATGGCATTGGTGAAACAAATACTTTATCTGAATCTGGTGTCTGTTTTAAATAGGATGGTGAAAAGTTGGAGAGGGTGTAGAAGACAGCCACAAAGATAATTTGAGGGCTAGAGAAAATGCTTTACCATGAGAGGCTGAAAGAGCTCAATATGTTTAGTTTATCAAAAGGAAGACTGAGAGATGACTGAGAGGTGTAGAAGTATCTTCATGGGGAAATATCATCAGATACTATAGGGCTCCTTAATTTAGCAGAGAAAGGCATAAAAAAAGTCTGGAAGCTGAAGCCAGAAAAAATTCAAATTAGAAATAAGGCACACATTTTTATCAGTGAGAGTGATTAACAATTGGAACAATTTGCCATGAGAAGTGGTGGGTTCTCCATCTCATAAAGTCTTTAAATCAAGACTAGATGCACTTCTGGAAGGTATGCTTTAGCCAAACATTAGCTATTTAACAAGTTATTAGACTCAATACATGCACGATGGGACGAAATTTAATGGCCTACGATATCCAGGAGGTTAGACTAGAATTAGTGCCTTTTGGTCTTAGTCTATAAATTAATGTTATTGCTGGGATTGAAATGGAGCAGAGGGAGGACTATGGCTCTGATTCCGCATTTGAATAACTTTACACATGTGAGTAGTCCCGTTCAACTCAACGGAACTACATACAGGTGTAAAGATACTCATGTTCGTTTGTTTGCAGGATTGGGGACAGAGGGGCCATGGAGTGAGCAGGAGGCGGGGCCTCAGGGAAGGGGTGGGGCAGGGGTGTTCGGTTTTCTGGAATTAGAAAGTTGGAGACCGATGCAGGGTGAGGGAAAGGGTGCTTATACCATGTGGTTGAGTAGTTCTTATTCCACCCCGTAGAGGGCAGAGACTTGCATTGCAGTATTTTGCATTACCTCCCACCTTCTCTGGAGAGTTCATGAATGGGATCCCAAGTTGCTCTAATGGATAACTATTTAGACACAATCCTGATAGAAAATAGCATCCAAATGAGCCAATTTTGGGGATAGAGAAACTGATTTTTATACTCTTTACCAGGCACCAAGTTGTGAGAGAACAAAAGTGATGTGGTTAGAAGACCCACATTCTAAGCCACTTAATTGTTTAGCTGAGGAATTTCACATACCTCCAAACACTATTGCAGAAATGCCAGTCACAGTACAAGAAGATTCTTCTAAGATGCTGCTGCTTAACCCTGTGTTTTTACAGAAAAATGGCACGAAAAGTGCTGAGGCTTTCCGACAGCTGTAGTTTGCTATGCTAGGAGAGCTGATAGGCGCTCGCGATTGTGCTCTCTCTCTCTCTCTCTCTCTCTCACACACACACACACTTTCCTCCTTCAAATCCCCCTTTAAAAACCCATTTCTTCAGAAATCTTTCCCACCTTGTTTTCTACCAATAATCTCTCCACCCTCTTTTTTTTTTTTAATCTAAGATGCTGTCCCATGTCTTGTGTGGTCTCTCTCAGTTCCTGTGCAGGAGCTCTGGGCTCTGTGCTAATGCATCTGACTGCTGGACTGGGGCTTTCAACTGTAAGCTGTTTGGGACAGGAAACATGTCTTACTCTCTTTTGTGGGGTGTCTGTTAGTGGACCCGATGCCCTTGCCTTAGTGGGAGCCATGCCAGTCTCTTACTCAGGACAGCTAGTAAAGTAAATCCTCTTCCCTGACCTTTTCTAGACTTTAACTGATAGTGTTTTGCTGTTACAATGTACACACAACAACACGTCAAATGGCTTGGGTCTCTGCCATTCAAGTATTTTATTTCCTTCCACCTCTTTCTGTAAATCCAACCGACTTTCCCTGCAAGGGCAACATTTACTGTCATGCCAATGTGCTCACGCCGGAGGCGGGTTTGAGAAGTTAATATTGTGTAATGCGCCAGAGCCTGCCGTTCTGTTTGTGTTTTTCTCTGTTACAGAGGCTAAACACCCGGTGAACCTGTGCAAACCTAACCCGTGCCTGAATGAGGGAGTGTGCGTTCTCAGGAATGGAAGCTACCGGTGTGAATGCCGAGGCTGGGAAGGACCGCACTGTGAAAGCAGTAAGGCTCGCTGAACAGGAACCAGTCAGTGAATTTCAGACAGCAGTGCAGGTTGAGGCTTGCACATTGTCAGAGGGCTAAGAGCTCAAGGGTGGGGCCGGAGCGTCAGCTATATGGTCAAGAGCAGTGGTTCTCAACCGGCGGCCCGCAGGTCGCTTGCGGCCCAGTCAGCACAGAGCAGCTGCCCATGTGACATCCTCAGGGCCGCAGAGGTAGTATTGGATGCAGCTCACGTAACACAATGCTAAATACAACTTGCAGGAGCAAAGATTCCCGCTCCTTTCATGACAGACCCCCCCTTATAACGGATTGGCAGACGTCCTCTGCTTCCTCTAGCCCCAGGGTGGCCAAACTAACTGACCCTCTGAGCCACAAACAACGGTCTTCAGAAGTTCAAGAGCTGGGGCGCACCTGCTGGGGCTCAGGGCTTCAGCCCTGCGGTGGAGTGGTGGGGTAGGGGCTTCTGCCCTGTGGGGAGGGGGTTCTTGTGGCTTCAGCCCCGCAGGAGGTGCCTGTCTGGGCTCAGGGCTTCAGCCCCACTCCTGCTGAAGCAGGCACACCCTGTGGGGGTTGAAGCCCCGAGACCCCTCTCCCTGTTGGGCAGAAGCCAGAGGTGACACCCTGGGGGGAGAGCACGTGGAGTCACATGCCACCCTCCAGATTTTTGCCAGGATTTGATGGCCCCGCTCAGTCACATGGTGCAGCTGGGCGCTGCAGTCGTGGGGAGAGGCCGTGGAAACAGCTGGAAGCTGCAGGGACGACCACTCAGGTTAAGGGGAGAATGTGATGGAGGGGCATGACTCACAACTTGTTGTGGGGGGGGGGGTGAACCTTTAAATTGTGACCCCCCACTCTCATCAGGAACCAGTCGCCTCTGGCAGAAGCCCCTCGCCCCACCACCCCGCTGCAGGGCAGAAGCCCCGAGCTCGGGTAGGCAGAAAATGGGGTTGTGGGGCGCTCTGTGAGCTGCGCTTTAACTGTAAAAGAGCTGCATCTGGCTCAAAAGCCGCAGTTTGGCCGCCTGTGCTCTAGCCACCTGTGGGTCTCTCCTTGCCACATCCTGGCACAAGTGAAACTCTCTCCCTTTCTTTTCTCTCTTTCCACTCTCTGCCTTTCCTTCAGTTCGTGTGGGACCGTGGTGGTGATGGCAGCGGTTGGGTTTTTTCCCTTCTCAATGCATCTAGAGGCTCCACATACAACCTGGGGGAGGGGTGAATGGTTGGTGGCGTCCTCTGGCAGCTCCGTGAGGCTCATGTGGCCCTCAGTTCCACTCTGAGAAGAGCAGCTTGGGCTGATAGGATTGTACCTAGGTCCACCCACTACACCCCCACCTGTATTGAGGGGGAGCAGACCTCTTTCAAGGAGCTGTGGGCTGTTTTGCCCATGGCTATGGGACTGTGCTTGCTGTGACAGGGAACAGAGTAGACTCTGAAGCTTTTCCTACCCTCCCTCTTCTCTGCCCCACACCCCCTCCCCATAGACTAATCTGGCAGTGCACTAACAGGGGTCCACCTCTCACACTGGGAAGTGGTGGGTTTGAAGCTAACTCTAGGATTATCTTGGTCAGGGGATCACGTCAGCCAGCATCAGAGGGGAGGTAGTTAGTGCTTTGGGAAGCAGAGACTCGGACTATTAGTCTTTTGCTAATGCGTAGACGCAGTTTTTACAGAGGGTTCCTAGACTGAAGCAGGGTCCTTAGGAGCTGCAGCTGCCCTCAGGCTTTAACCCTATATTGTGTGGAGTCATTGGTTTGCAATATTTGCCACACCATGAGCCTCTTTCCCATGCCAGGACCCTAATCCCATTTAGCAAGGTTCTGCCTGCGGCCTCCTTTCATTTAGCAATATGGAAAGGAGAGGGCGGTTAACAACTCACTCACAACTGTTCATTTCCTCAACCCTTGGAGGTCAAGTCCTCAGGATCCATATGAAATGTTTTCCTCAAGCTCACACACTTTGGCAGAGCCAGGAATAGAATCCAGAAGTCCTGACTCTCACCTGAGATCACAATATCTGACCTCATACAGGCTACCACCACCACAGTATGTGCCTGTTGCCATTGCATCTGCTAGTATTGTCTGAAATGTACTTTATCTGTACAAAGAATTGAACATTGATTTTGTATTGGGGACCATTCTTCTTTCTCGACATTTGTTTATTTTTATTGTAACAGGAATTTTAAGGGGCGATTTTTCAAGATCACCGGTCCCTCCCACAAACTTTCACATCCAACGAAATCCCAGCGGTTTGCAGCAGCTTAACAGAGCTCTCCGACATGCAAAAAGGCACGCTCAGTCGGGACACTGAGTTGGGCAGCTTCACTGTGCAGTTCTCCTTTCACTAATGTTTGCTTGCAGCCATTAATATACAAGACGATCTGGCAAGCAACCACCAGGTATTTCAATGAATGATTTAATCTGGCACAGAGACTGAAGTAATGTCTCCAAGTTCACACAGGACACCAGCTGGGCTTATCAGTAGTCAATATTTTTTTTCTTTTGTAATAACTCAATATTTTGTGTTTCAATATTTATTATTGACCATTTTGCTTTTCCACTCCAAGATTTTGGTGTTTCACGTATGTTGTTTGAAAGATCTGTGAGTTGGCAGCAGACTATTAGAGAAGGCTGGAGTAATTCTGGGGTTCAAGCCGAAAGGGGTTAGCCTAAATAATGTATCTGTAAACAGAGCTATATAAAGTGCACATTTTTAACAACGAGAGTAATTAACCATTGAAACAACTGACCAACGGGTGTGGAGGGGATTCTTATCACTTGAAATCCGTAAATCAAGACTGGACGTCTTTCTGAAAAAGATGCCCTAGCTCAACCAGAAATTACGATCTAGATGGCGAAAATAGGGAGTGAAATTCTGTGGCCTGTGTTATAGGGGAGGTCAGACGAGGGTCCCTTCGGGGCTTAAAATCTATGACTCTATAAACTATAGGTATGGCTGTGCAAACAAAGAGCCGGGTCCTCAGCTCCAGTAAATCAGTTCAGCTCCGTTGGTCTGGCTGTAATTTCCATACGCTACTTACCAGCCCCAGTTAAATATTCCTATAGTTGAAGTCACTAGAATGAATTATTGGATAAACACAGGAAGACAAATGAAAGTGAGAGCTAGTGATGGGCTTTGTTATGCGTTACTGATTTCTCAATCCCAAATGCAGTGATGTTCCCTTGCTTAGCTCTTTTCTTTGTTTGTGTTTGTTTCTGAGTGAGGTAATGTGGTTTGGCTTAATGGGCATTTTTATTAGCTGCATTTTGTTGTTGTTAGGAAGGGCCTTAACGTGAAACAACTCTAAAATGGAGCTGCAGCAGTTAATACGTACGTTGCTATATTTACAAGATGAGCTTGGCTATTTTAGTCCTAGAGATCAGATTAGTTTACTATGTAAATCGAACGGTAGGTGATGGCTGAAAAATGACTTGTTTAAAGCCTAGAGCGGAGTAGTCCACACACAGTGCGGAGGACACATCCTGGGCTAAGCTAAGGACTGCTTTGGATCTGGTGTGCTAAGGAGCTGAGTCTACTGAATTGGGTTTTTTATGTAAACGATACCATTTGCGGCCCGATCCTGCATGCTTGGTTCATGCCAAACTCTCCCTAGGACAGCTGGGGGTTTGTCCGAGTCATCTGTGCTACAAATACAGCAGTGTAAGGGTTCCAGAGCTGGTTACAAATGGGGTTGCAGTCGGTTGCATACACTGCACCTTACTGTGTTTTGGAACCTGGCTGCTGTGTTGGATTCAACCACGGCTTCTGTCTCCATCAGCTCCCTTTTGCAAACTCTCTGTTTGCCCCTCTTCTTTTACCCTCGCTTATCACGCCTCCTTTCTTTGCCCCTCTCCTCCAAGCCAAACCCAGGCTCCTTTCTGAGTGCTGGGAACGCTCGTTCCATGGCTTTACCAGGAAGCTCTATCCTCCCGTTGGGGGAGGTCTCTGTAAAACTGGCCCCCTTGAAAGGCGGAAATACCATTGTGATGAACAGGGGATAGGAACCATAATAGGCAGCACGTCTGGCTCCCTTAATGGTTTTATGCTGATCGCTCTTCACCCAGCAGGCTAGCGGTCGTGGCAGCTTTACATGGAGCAGGCGAGGCTGAGCCATAAGTTCGATAGGAGCTGCACACGCACCTCCAAAGAACAGAATCTGGCCCCAGGCCAGCACCTTTCAGAGGGTGTCGCTCAGTGGATCACCTGTGAAGCTATTAGACATACACGATTGCTCTCCTGGGGCTATTTAACTACTTTATTATGTTGTTCTTAACTGCTTTCCTCATGGAGCCCATCGCCTTGGAGAGACTGAAAGCAGAAACTCCAGTTCTGCTGTGCGCAGAGCAGAGCCAGAAAGATTAACTGCAACTGCCAGTGTTCAGGGTTGTAGCTTCTAGGGTTCAGTGTTCAGGGTAATAGCAAAGAGAAGAAAACCCCCTTCATCCAAGTGCCTTGGCCCCATGTTTTACTAGTCACACAGATGTACCAAAAGAGAGACCGATTATTTCACAGGGTGGCTGTCTAAAGGACAATGGTCTAACCCACTCATGGAGATTAAAGCTAGTTCTGCAACAGCAGCAATGCTAGTCTATACCTTATGCTGGAAGAAATAAAGGAGAACTTCCACTTTGGCTCTGCTCAGCCGCCCGTCGATCATCCTTCGGCTTCCGCGCCTGAGGCAAGCAGCGACGGAAGCGCAATTGCCGGACTGACGTTGGAAGCAGGAAGAGGCACTAACCCTTCTCCCTTAATTATGGCTGGCCTGGTTGCCGCTTTGGTGTTACTTCTTCTGTAAAAGTGTCCATGGGTTCTGTTCTGGAAAGAATGGGCTACAGCAGTCTCTTGGCTACCATCCAAAGCCACAGTTTGTATTTTACACTGGGGAAACATCTGGGGAGCTGGTTCCACTTCCAGCCAAATTCTGCTCTGAAAATATTCTCTGTCATCTTGCACTCCCTGCATGGTTTGTTGGTGGTAGAGAGACTATGCTATTATCCCTTGCTGCCCTGCTTCGCTGTAATATTTACAACACTCTGGCATTTTCTGCTGTATATTTTGTCTAACAGATGCACAGGTTAAACTCTGCTTCACTTTCACTGTCTTTTGGCAGCTTGCCTTTAACACAGAGTTGGCTCTTCTTCCTTTAGCTTTCGTACAGTGTACGACTTGAGTAATTGCAATGTGCTTTCTTAAAAGTATAAAGGTATTTACAATATTTTCCTCATACTATGTTGCATACAGAGAAGATTTGTATAGATCTAATGAACCCTTAGGCTTGATTATGCACCTATGTTGTACGATTGTAACCATGCTATATAGATATACTTTTGTTTTAATACACTGCTAATATGAGCATTTCTGAAGCACATAAATTTTACTGGGATAAGGCTGAGTGTGGGGAAGAGGCCTGGCAAAACCAGGGATTTTTTCCCCCATGAATTTGCTTCATTTAAAATATGGATGGGCAAACTGGTCTGGATAAAACCACAGACTTTAAGCTCCTTGGTGCAGAAACCATTTTTTGTTGTGGTTGTAGATACAGTGTCTAGTGGAATAGAGCTCGGATCTCTGATTGGGGCCCCTAGGTGCTGCCACAGTACAGAGAATGGTGATATGCAAGATGGAGGGTGTTTAACTGAGTTTTTCAAAGGAGCTGTAAGGAGTTAGGCGCCCACACATGCGGGGGCCCAGTTAAGGTGGCACAGATAATCTGAATTCTGGCATTTCGTAACTTTTGAGTGCTTGGCTTTTGGTTCCTTACATTTTTTTTTTTTTTGGTGTCATCGTTTTAGTGTGTAATATGAATAGAATACAGCATAAAACTAACAGCCCTGGAGAAGTATGAAAACGGCGTGTTCCATGCCTCGTCAGCTTTCTCGACTGGTGGAAGATGACATTCCTAGGCAGCTAAGAAGGCGACACGTCGGGAAAGTGCTGGGAAAATCAGGCTGATCATGGAGATAAAGGCAGTGAGGCCTAGTGGATAGAGGACTGGACTAGGACTTGGGAGACGTGGGTTCTATTCCTGGCTTTGCCACGGGCCAGCTGAATGACCTCTGGCCAGTATCCTTCCCCTCTCCATGCCTCTTTAAAATGGGGACGAGGTAGACCTCCTTTGTAAAGTGTTTTGAGATCTACTGATGGAAAATGCTCTATAAGAGCTAGGTATTGCTATCTGTAGTGAACCATGACTCATTGGGTCAAATTCATCCCAGCTCTAAGGCCAATGAAACCCCCAGTTGGCTTATTTTATTGGTTCCCCCCACTCCAGAAGAGCTGTGTGATAATGGGAAAACCACAGAAATATAGAAATACCTTAGGGTCTGGTTCTAGGAGGGGCTGAGCACCCACTATTCCAAGTGACGTCAATGGGAGCTGCAGTGCTCAGCTCAGCTGAAAATCAGGCCTGTCCTGTCTATGAATCCGCAGTGAAGCAAGTAGAATTTGACAGAATGGACAGAAAATTGTAATTCAGACAAGGACTTCCCTCTGCAATATCTTAACCATGGTGGGCTAAATATGCCTTCAGTTGCACGTCCCATTGACTTTGTTTGCCTGTTGTAAAGGAAGGAGGAATTTGGCTCATAGTATGACGTGCATTAAAAAGGGACTGAACTGTTGTGATCATTTTCATATACCGAATCCCAGATACATTAGGCCACAGACACAGCCGCATACGAGGCCAGGCCCTGTAAACATTTACTACCTGGCATTGTGCTTTGAAGTCAAGGAGACTCGTGATGTCTCACCTGGCCATGTTTGCAGAATCAGACTTGAAGGTCCCTGCAGTCTGTTGCACTTGTAGAGGACAGTATGTCAATCAGTATATATCTGAATGGATGTGGCTGGCCAATGGGAGCAGGTGGACCTGTTGGCTTATTTGACCTGCTGTAGAAAGGCGAAAGAGAAACCCAGGTGGTCATGGTGCAGTTAAAGGAACCAATGTTCTACCAAATGAACAGCCATAAATAAAACTGTCTCACTGTGTAGATCCTGATATGACACAGGTGTGAATAACGAGCACCAGAGAAAGCACTTGTGGGGTCTGGGCTAAAAAAAGTTACTTTGTTTGTTTAGGGGGAAAATAAAACCAACTTGCAGCTTGAAAGGTGTCAGTGCATCGGGGTTGCCTTTTAACTTCCTGGTCTCTCTATCTCAGTTCAAAAAACAAAAATGGTCTTGCACAATGCACAGACCATAATCTGGCAATTTTTAGTTAAAAAGCGGAGGTGGCTTGGCACTTACACATGGTCCTTCTTTAAATTCACTCCTGGAGCCTAGTTTGAAGTTAAACAGAAATCCTTAATGAGAAAGTACTTGATGGGAAGTTCAGACCCTAAAAGTTGGAAGATTGTTCGGACCTTGCACAGTTACCAAGCAGCAGGAGGGGAGGTGATTTAGCAAAATGGGTGGTAGAGTAAGATCTGTTGGGGTGAAAACAAAAGCTTTTTCTAGAGAGGAAAATGCCAAATTTTCACTGGGAGTAATTGGGTGTTTGGGAGCTAACTAATGGGAAACAGGAATGATTCTCTCCCCATAGCAAGTTGGATGATCCCTTCAGATGGCCGTATGTTGACTTCAGTGGGAAAGCCTGGTCTCATGTCATAAAGTGGAATGTGAGTGCCATACATTTCACCCTCTTCAGCTTTATTTCCCCTGACTCTCCTTTTAAAACAAGTAACATCTTGCCCTTCTGTAACTACTGAATCTGAGATAGTGTTTTTACTTTTAGTGCTAGGCGCGTCTGTCTTTAACATTCCCACTGCTTCCTCAGAAGACCTGAAAAAAATCTGTTTTCTTGTCTTTTTCTTTGGTTTGCTGGTTGCTTTCCTGTCAGAAGGTGTCTGGCCTTTGCAGTGAGATAGGTGTGTTGTTGTGACCTGTAACTGGCATGAGAAGTTCAAAGACCTCGTTGAGATGAGTTGTTAACCTATAAAAGTCACAAATACTGGGCCAGTTCCTGCTGATTCCTTAATCAGACTTCACTGGGAATTTTTGCTTGTGTGAAGACAGGAGGCTTTGTCCCGTACAACGTAGGTAGCTTGTTTAAACTAAGCCTAAACAATATGCATGATGAAAGTGGAGTAATTTGGTTCTTGTCCCAAACAATGTCCATAAATATTTGAGGCAAGATCTTCTAAAATGGGATCTTAGAGTTAGACTCCTAAGATCCATATATAGGCATCTGAGTAAGTGGACGGATTTTCAAAAGTGCTGAGGAGACAGCTGCTCTGATTTGTTTACGTCGGACTGCGAGATACCTCAGCAGTCAGTGAAGGATTGTCCAGTGCCTTCAAAGCAAGAAGAAGGGATGGTAAAAGAAATCTGTTAAGAAAAACCCTGGCGTTATAGCAATGGATGTTCTTCCAGAACAAGTCCCATTTGTGCTTCTGTCATATTATACAGCCGTATCCAGCCCCATTGACTTCGGTGGATATTGGATCAGTGTCTCGATGTCCAAAAGATACAGAGATGTTTGACAAACAGATATATAAACACTATATGTGCACGCTGTTTCAAGCGCTTCAGGGCCAGGACTATTTTTTACTATGTATTGGTACAGCATCAGAGGCCTGTTAGCTGTCTTTAGGCACCACTGTAATAATGATCCTGTATTAAATTCTATGTATTAAACTCGGCAGTGGCCAGCCTCTGCACTTCTTGAATTCTGTGGAAACTTTACCACAGACTTTAATGGGAGCTGAGTCACACCAGCACTGAGCACTTTTGAAAATCCTACATGTAGTTTCTGTTGAACGCTATTAAATTCCCAGAGAACTTTTCCATGAGGAGCAGGGCTAACAAGTTTTGTATTTTATCAATGTGTTTGTAAGTCATTTTCACAGAAAATGACACTTTTGTACTAGATGCCTAGATGTATTGATGTTCACTGTTGTTTCCTTGATGGACAGCTGGCACAGGAATGCTGAGTTGTGTATATGTTAAAACTCCAGTAGATGCCAGTAAATAACCAAGTGATTAGTGATAGAGAGATGTATATTTAGACGTTAACTCGATAAACATTGCCGTGAGCGAAGTAAATCAGCTGTTCTCTGCAAATCTGATGCAAGTTAGGACTCCTGAAGAGGCCGGCCTGTGGGCCCAATCGTGCAAACACTTACTCAACTGCGTCGTGCTTACGGGAGGGCTCCTGTTGGCCTCATTGGAACTAGCTCTCCTGAGGAAGCACCATGCTGCTCATGTGAGGAGCGCCTTGAAGGATCCTGCCCTGTGACTGGATTCTTGGCTGCATTCTTTGTTACCAGAATGATTCATGATGTGTCGTTTGTCTCTTAGTGTCGTTTTTACCAGGGATGATTAATTGGACATTTAACACCAGGCGGAGGAGCAATGGTTTGTAAAAGATAAGAATCACTTAGGAAAGCAACTGTTCCTCCCATTTACATTCCATAAATGATGTATGGACAGAAACTATTCCTTCTCTTTGAGCTATCGCTGTCGATAGTCCACTGGATGGTAATGGGCTTGTTAATTAATTTGTATTGATATGTGCCTTTCTGCTGCGACTCTCTCAAAGCACTTTGCAACCATGACCTAATGTGCTTGACAGAGAAGCAATATTCATTTCCATTTTATGTACTTAGAGCCTGCCTATGCACACTAATTGCCCGGCTTTAACTATGAAGTGGTACAATCCCCCTAAAGTGACAAGCTAGACTGGTCTATGCACCATTTCCTTGTGTACACCTTTGGGAATAAGTTATACCAGAAGTTTAGAGGAATAAACTATGCTGCTATAAGCCACTGTTATACCAGTCTCACTGCATCTACGCTAGGAGTTTTACTGGTATAAAACTTTACATCAGTTAAAAAAACAAACGCAAAAAACCCACCACCCCTAATGGAAATAATTTAAACCAGTACAAAAACTGTGGGTAGAGCAGCTCTGAAAGGGTGTGTTGATTTGGGTTCTCAGGGCATGTGGTAACTCTACCAAGAAACCCAGCACAATTGGGGTGAAGCAGAGATGGCTGACCTGGGCCTTACCATGTAGTTCGTGTTGTTGCTGTGATACCAAGCTGACTGTTTCAGGGAGGGGATTTTATATTCACAAAGTGGCGACTCCTTTCTCAGACACACGCAACAGGCAGCTTACTTAAGAGGATGGGTTTTTTTCCTTCATTTTGGAGTGCAGTGAAGGCTGGGCTAAGACATACATTTATGACCGATTTTATTTTCCCTCTCTTCCCAAGTGAACCTGTTCCTGTTAGTGTCATTAAGAGCTTGCAGCACAAACAGCATGTCACAAGGCTACTACCTAGTGGACAAAAGGGATGTTAGTTATGTTTTTCCCCTTCTGGGTTTGTGTAAGGCTGTAACACCAGTTACACTTGTGATCAGCTGGGGAGACGGACTGGTCCTGGCTTGTTCCTTTTAAAAAAAAAACAACCACCACCTGCTGTTTAAAAAAGCAGCCCCCTAATTTAACATATTCAACCTTTATTTAAAAAAAAAATCTTTAAAGCGTCACGGGATGGGTCACAGTTATGCCCAAGAAAACAGCATTGAATTAGGAAGACCATGGCAATGACAGAGGCATTCACTGTTTAACGTTTTGTCGTAGGTAAACAGCATGGGTCAGGACTCACCCAGTTGGTGGATGTGGAAAGTGCTCGATGCTCTCAATCCCCTGATAAGAGTCAGTATTAGATGTAATTCCTAGGAATAGATACATCAGGAGGACCACTCTGCAGCAACAGGGCATGGAGGATCAGGCAGCTGTTCTTCCAGCTCTGTCTACAAGTAAGAGGGTTTCCTCCACCATGTCAGGAGAAGGGTGTGGGGTGGACAGGGCAGGATGCAATGACATGCTAAAGTGAAGCTTTCATGTTATAGCAAAGGGGGGCGGGAGGTGACATGGTAAGGCTCTCATGGGACAGGAAATGCATGATGGGTAGAAAATGAAAGTTTGGTGGGGCCAATACCCCACCTGTGTTGAGCGGAGAGAAACCTGGATTTTTGTGAGACCCTCCACCACAGTTGTGTCTTTGTCTACGTTACATTTCTGAACGTAACAGAGACCAGTGCTAGGGATTTAGAGGTTTGTGAATGCACTCCTTGTTCTCCAAGGCCTGGAGTCAGCAACGCTTGTGTTTAGGGGCAGACTTTCAAAGGCAAACCTGGCATTTGATGCTGAACTAACTGCCCTGTCTTGCCTTGCAGAATCTCCCGACAGGCTTTGCCGAGGCAGGGCCCTAATGCGTTCTTCCCGAGATGGTCAGGGGAAAGTACTGAAGGAAAGCAGCTAAACACCACTGTACGGCTAGTGAAGAGATGAGGCTTTTTTAAAAAATAAAAAACAACAATGGGAGGAGGGCTGGGTATAAATTGTGGAGCTGGCCTTCATTGGTTCCCTTTGCATTTAATCTCCCCCTCTGGCATAGAGAGTCAGTTTCAAGGTGACTTGTGGGTGTTAATTCTTTGAAGCTGCATAAGAACCTTGTTAAATAGCTGGATCCAATGAGTCTAATAGAGCAGAACCCCTTTTACCTGATCTAACTGGGAGTGGGGCCAGATTGGCTAATCAAAAAGCCAGAGAATAGGAAAGTGTGATGCTGCGCTTCCACCTAGTGGTCCCTGGCGGGATTGCCTGCTTCTGGCCCTGGTGGTTCAATTAATGCTGAAGGCTAAATAGTGGAGTGAGTCAGCCTTGTAGTTCCTTGTCCAACCCTTGTGAGTTAATTGCACCACAGAGGAGCTGCTGACCATGCAAAGTGTTAAAGGCTGAGATCACACTTGGTCTTGGAGAAACACCAGGGCTGAGGAAATCTGTCAGCATCCCCTCTTAGAGCTCCTTGCCTGCTGGGCTGGTGAGTGTGCAGAAGGCCATGCTGTGGTATCGGCTGCAGGGTCTGCCCCCAGGGCTGGAGCATCCCTAGGGACTCCAGTCCTGTGGTGCTGAGAGCTGCCGTGGCAGGAACTGTCCTTTGGTACGGCAGCCTGCAGAACCAGGGGCTCCAAAAAAGCTAATCCAACCTAGCTGGATAATGAAGGAGCCTGTCGGTTCCACAGGCTAGGAAGGGGGGGGGGCCCTTCCCCAGGACCCCAGCACTGTTGGTGAGCTGATTATTTCATCTCCCCTCCTGTTTAAATGTCTAACTTTAGAAGAGCAAAATCAATGAGCAACAATTACTATTGGAAAGTGTGGGTGGGTGGGACTCAGTCTTTGCCAACCAGGCTTCCAACTCCAGGGTCCATTTTTCAGTTGTAAAAATTCTTTAACACCAGACAGGGTTTTATAGAAACTTCTGCTGACTCCTCAAATACAGCTAGACTCACAGTTACAGCAATGCGGTGTAAAGTCCAATGGCAACTATAAAAGCCAGAAGAATCAGGCCTCTGTTCTGGCTGTTACCTCATCTCAGGTAGCTTGCCAATTTTGGTTGGCCTTAATCCTGGAGGTTTCATCACATGACAATCTTTTATTCTTGAGGACTCCAGGGCAAGCCTGGAGGGTTGGCGATGCTGCAGCTAAGCCTGTCCCATGAGTAGGGCATTAGTGTAGGGGGGTCTCTCTCACAGGACACGTCTGTATATGCTGTAGAATATTGGGGCTGTAATATGTGTGTACTACACACACAGAAGAACCACTTGCTTTCAGTCAGACCTGCAACCTCTTTCTCTACAAAGATGGGCCAGGGCAGCACTATTCCGAGTTAGGCCCAGATGGGAAAACCAGTAATGAGGGAAATGTATGTGTGGTTGGGCGGGGTGTTATTTCCCTTCGTCCCCTATGGGTCAGCCCTGCAATTTGGCTCTGGCTCCAGCAACCCAAAGCTACATAATTTGAAGGGCGGGGAGGTTGCATGCTACTCCCTCATTTTGTAACAAACATTGCTATTAGACCCTCACAGGTAACCTCCAACACTATCCTGTTGTTCTCAGGTGAGGCTCTGGCTCTCTGACAACCCTCACTATTTTCATAAAGCAAGATAAATTCAATCTCCTAGCAACAGCTTTTGGGCATATCCCTTTGAACTAGCTCCCACGCTCCAAAACCTGCCCCTTTACTTACAGACAGACAGACAATTAAGCAGGGATCATCCTTGTATTCTGGCACATGAAAGGCTGGGGAAATGATTCTGAGCAGTTGAGGTGGCTACATGGTTCGTATCACTGACAGTTACTCCAGGACTTGACTTGTACTTGGATAAGGGGTACTCTTAGCTCCCCCTCGCTTCCTTCTAATGCACCTTGACTTCCTATGCCTGGCTAATGCTGCTTCCCCATTCCATAGTGCAGGTTTCTCTTCTCAGCAGAACGGGTTTTTCCCTACTTCTGCGTGGCCACCTTCCTGAGCCACACTGGCTGGGAGTGACGGTTGAGTATAGAAAGCACAGGCCTGTAAAGACAAGCACCACATCCCCCTCTCACTCTGCTACAAGGGGAGATATCACTAATAAAGAAACATTAATAATGCAATGATAGAACTTCAAAGTAGACATATGCAAACCAGCCCTCTGTACAGTAACAGTCTTGTTTACATCAATCAGGGTAGGAGGCTGATTCCAAGACTTGCCATTTGTGATATTCTCAGCTGTGCCATGGGAATGGGCAGGATGGTTTTTGATGATCACAGATTGTCCCACGTCTTTTTACTGAGCAAGTGGCCCAGGGTGGTGATAGAGGACAGGATGGCTTGCCGCTCTAGCCTGGCCCTTCGCCTACAAATGACTGAATCCTCTGGTCCAGGTATAGGCAATTCCAGTCTTTTTAGTCCATCCTTGAAAATGTAGTCATCCTAACTGGTTCCTTTTTTCTCCCATTCCTGCCAAAAAAACAACACCACAAACCTCTGTGAAGACAATTCTGTCCCACGTGCTCCAGAAAGGAATCCAATAGCATTAGTCTTTGCGTAAGTGAATTTGTATCCTATAATCATTCATTCCTCCACCTACAGTTTCAAGCTCACTCAGCCAGTATTCTGAGGGGTTAAGATATTTCAGTGGTACCACTCACAGGCCACAGCACTGTAGTCACATAAGACGCCAGGGACCTCTACACCCAGCCATGTTTGTAACCTAAAGTAGACAGTAACTACACCCGCAGTTAGGAACCAGGCCTGAGAGAGAGCATATTGCACTGAAAAGGAGATCAGCATTCGTGAAAGGAGTTTTAAGAAGGGTGTGAAGGCAGCTCAGCTAGTTTCGTAGCTTTTCCAGATGGGTGTTGTGTGATAAAAGGCACTAATGTGGCCCTAAGGGGCAGAGTCTGATTGGGACATTTTACGTGTCCATCTGCGATAGGACAGAGAATATGGAGTACGGGGAGGGAAGCCCAAAGGGAAAGATACATGGGTCCCTACCACACACAGCTCACCATCTCACTTTAGTTGGATAGGCCTCAGTGCTCACAACTGGATACTAATTGTGGGTACCCAGCATATGACTATTTCAAAGGCGTGTGATCTAGCTGTGAGGAGCCCCCACCCATGAACATTGGGCCCTGTTTAGGGCTCTCAAGTTGGGCACCCAAAAAAAAAAAAAAATCACAAGTCACTTCTGAAAGCATAGGCCATCATAAATACAACCTAGTGTTTGTATGTTTGCAGTGTTGGGTGCAGGATACTAGCGAGACAAGGTAGATGAGGTAATATCTTTTACTGGACCAACTTCTGTTGGTGAGAGACACACGCTTTCAAACTACACCAACCTGAAGAAGAACTCTGTAGCTTGAAAGCTTGTCTCTGTCACCAAGAGAAGTTAGTCCAGTAAAAGGTATTACCCTACCCACCTAGTGTCTCAATTGTTTGTATGGCCCTCTGCTTAACAGAGGCCACACAGTAGCACACCCACCCTTTTACAAAAGTGCCCACTGAGGCTGAGAGGGGTTAAGTTGCTGTCTGAAGGTCACGCAGTGAGTGGAGCTGGGAAACTGCTCCTGTCTTGTGTCCTACGCATACAGCATGATCTGTCTTCACCTTCCCTCACTGTGCTTCAAAGATTAGGCAAGTTTCTGAAAAGGGCGTGTTTGACAGATTGATTTTTCATGCTTGGGTTGTTACATTGTGCTGCCTTTAGCTTGTCCAGTACTGCTCAGCTCAGTGTGGTTGTGTAAAGACAGAGAGCGCTCTAAGAGCCATAGCCAGGAAGTTAAATTGCAGTTAGAAGATGAAGATGCCTGTCCAGATGCAGACCCCCGCCAAGGCAAAACCATTACCAAGGCTAATCACCTCTGAGCAACAGACCAAGGCACAGAAGAATGGTTCTCATTCCTGCCCGTCACAGGTCAATCGCAGTCTGCAGCCACTTTCCAGTGCTGAGAAGGCAAGACTGGAAGCAAAGGATTTTGAAAGAGGAGAATGGAACCGAATGATGCACACAGAGTTCAATGACAGCTGAGTATACGCATCTGTTCCAAGGGGATTCGTTTTGCTCCCCACCTTAAACTGGGCCTTACCTTTGCTTTCTGTAGAACCGTCCCTTTTCCTGTAACCATGATGGATAAAGGCCTGTTTTTTAACGCTGTTGCCGAGTTGACCGGGGAGTTCTCTGTGCCACTTGCTGGACTGGCCATTTTTACCTGTATTTACAATAAAAGTAAGTGTTGTGACCATGATGATTTTGTGTTACTAAACTTGTCCTGTCATTAGTCACCTGCCAGAAAATAGCTAACCACTCTGCTTAACTCTAAGAGCTGATCCATGCTGAGGCATCAACCTAGCAATGAGGCTGAATTGTAGGGGTGCAATTGCAACAGCACGAACATGAGTATCACATCATCAAGGGGCAAACTGGGGATTACACTGTGGCTCTTTGTGGCTCAGTTCTTCAAGGGTGAGCCCCAATAGGTCTTTTTGGTCTGTAATTTCTATATTTATCAACCAAGTACACTGCAGGCCACCACGCTGTTTGGCTTCAGTCATCAATACGGACAAAGGTTACAAGAAGGGATGGACACAAGGTTCAAAGTTTGGATCTAATGCGCTTAGGTAGTTACTGGCCATCATTAGTGTAGTATCTCAGCACGCCTCAGGCTCTTTAATGCATCTTTTCTCACAATACCACTGCGAGGCAGGGCAGTGCTATTATCACCAATTTGCAGATGGGGAACTGAGGCACAGACACACTCAGACCCAGAGCCTCAAAAAGTATTTAGGCACCTAGCTCCCCTTTGAAATCAGTGGGTTAGTCAAGGGGTACCTAAATACCTTTGTGGGTCTGGGTCTAAGTGAGTTGCCTACAGTCACGCACACAGAGGCAACGCAACAGTGTGTGGGGGGCACAATTTAAAGTTTCGGCCATCCCCTGAACAGCTTGTGTCACACTCCCTCCCTCACCCCCAGTCTTCCCTTCCAGAAAGCAATGTTCCCTCCCTGCAGCACCCAGCTGTTGCACCTGCCTCTCCCTGGGGGGCAGTGTGGTGCAGCTCACCTGGCCCCCAAGGTCACATGATTGGCTCAACTCCACCAGTTGCCATGCAGGAAGGGGGACCAAGCAGGACTGACTCTGAGTCAACACATGCAGGAGTGGTCCTGCCCCAAGCCCCTGGAGGCGAGGTGGTTTCCAGCCATGGCTTCCAAGGCCTCCCCGGCTGGGGGCTCCTACACATTAGCCACCCCCTGGCCCTGGTAAAATTCCCCCAGGTCCCTGTGCGAGACCTGAACAAACACCAGGGCAGGCGCCCGGCCCCATAGGCTTGTGGTGACCCTAGGGTGACCCTGTTTCCCCCTCACCTCCATATACACACACGTCACCTCTCCATGCACAAAGCCTATGGCAGAGCAGAGAATTAAACTCAGGTCTCCCCAGGGCCCAGCTAGCACCTTTCATCTCTCCTTTTCCACAGTGCAGAAGTGGCAGGATCTGGGCTTTAGGTTTGGGCCCATCCCTATTTGTGAGGCTGCAATCCTGAGATTATTTAGTAGTAGCTACCACAGGGGAGATGTAAAGCACTTCAATTCCCCAGAGCCAGGCCGTGATTAGCAACTCCCTGCCACTTGGCTGGGAAACAGCAGCTGTTTAGCGCGGCACATACTTTGGGGCTTGCGTTCTCCAGGTGCGTGGTGTCCACAGCTGTGCCAAGTGTCACCGGGCCAGACTCAGCTTTCTTCAGGTTCTCTTTAACTTCCACAATGCTCAGTTCCAGGTCAACCCTCCTGCTCTCTTTCATTTTGCACTCCTCGTCTATTTCCTTCAGCTTCTGCTCCACATTAGCCACCAGGCTGCTATCTGCAGAGGGAAGACAAAATAAATACACGCACCCAGCTGAGCCAGGGCACCGTGGGGATAACTGCACTCACAGATCTCCTGTGCATATGCTGCTTTTCTCAGGCAAGACTCAGACGCTCAGTGGATTTCATGCATTTGTCAGCAGACCGAGTGTAAAAGAGCAATTACCTGCGTACCAACCCTTGAAGGCTCTATTGTTAGAGGAGGATCTCGGCAATTGTCCCTCCATAACTGGGATTGGGCAGGTTAGTATGTGTGACGGGAGACTTGCATGACTTGGTGAGGGAGGACTAGTGATCGGAATAAGAACACTAATGACTGTGCAGTCCGGTGTCCCTTGTAACACACTGAGTATGGTTGTGTCTGCCGGCAGCCTCGGGCCCTGGCCCCAGCCACTAGTGGGAGCCATTGTCAGACATGCTAAGCCTGTGTATGCTACAAGGAGTATTCCGAATCGTACGTGACTAACTGCATAGACCCATGATAACGAGTTAGGGGTCCGTGTCCTCCTAGCTCAGATGTGTAATGAGGGACCAAAACTTAACACTAAATGGTTGGCACTACATCACTAATTCCCAGAGCCTGTTCCCACCCCAGTCTAGTCACCATTATGTGAATCAGTGCAGAGTGCTCCGTGGATCTTCAATATCTATGGTACTTAGGTGGCCTCCGTCACTGCAGTAGCTGAGCGTCTCACACTCTTTAATATAATTATCCTCACAACATCCCTGTGAAGTAGGGCAGTGCTACTATCCCCATTTTATTGATGGAGACCTGAGGCACAGAGAGACCAAGACCCAGATCTTCAAAGGTATTGAGGCAGCTAACTCCCACTGAAATAGCACATTAGGCTCAGAGCCTCAAAGGTATTTGTTAAGTGTCTTGCCCAAGGCCAGACAGGAAGTCAGTTTTGGAGCAGTGAATTGAACCTGGGACTCCCAAGTCCCAGGCTAGCACCTGAACCATTGGGTACATCCTTCCTCTCCTGCAAAAGCATCATATGCCACTCCTAATGGTCTCTCTGCCAGTGCCTAGGTCTGTTTCAGAACCTGCTCCTTTGAGCTGAAATTTCCCTGGGCTCCTACCTGGACAGCTAGCTAACGTCTCTTTCAGCTCCCGTCTCTCCTTCCGAAGCTGGGTCAGCTGAGACCGGATTTCCTCCTTTTCCTTCTCCAGCCGCTCCTTCTCCTCGGTGTACCGCTTCACCTCAGCCTCCATCCTGTTCTTGCCCAGTTTGGTTTCTACAGGCACTGCAAACACATCAGCAAAGCCAGGCTTAGCAGTGGACAAGGCTACAGGGAAAAAGTTTTCAGTGTCTTCATGTATCCATGAAAGCAAAGCAAAGCAAACTGCTCCAGAAAGTAATACGATCACTTAGGCCTGATATACCACTATGCAGCTTCCGTGAATTAAATTCTCATACACCCTTCTGAGATATTGTCTCCATTTTAATAATGGAAAAAACAGTCCAGCTTGGGGGACATTTTTCAGCCAAAAATGTTTTCCAGTTAAAATACAGTTTTGGTGACTCAGAAACATTCCATGAATTCATGTCAGTTTTGCCAAATTGTTTTGGTTTAAAAAAAAATAAAGTAAAAAACCCCAAACATTTAGTTTTGAGGTTTTGGAAACGAACCATGTCAGTTTTTCGGTTGAAAATGAGTGTTTCTACATTTCTTTTTAAAATACCCCAAAATGTTTAAAAATGGTTGAACTCGAAATGGAATGGTTCAAGTCTGTTGAAACATTTCACTTGACCCACAACATTTTCCCCCAACTTTTCAATTTGTCAAAAATTTCAAATAGTTTTGTTTTCAGTTTGACCCAAAATGGTAATCCTCCCACCTCTAAATGTTTGGCTTGCTGGCAGACTGAAAAATCCCTTATTTTCACAGCTCTAAAACAAAAAAGGCAACAGTGGCAGAGCCAGGCTTAGCAATCAGGAGTCCCTGGTTTCCTGTCCTGTGCTTAACTCACTAGGCAACACCATCCACACTGTGACATATTCCAGTCACCCCAGGAGAGCAGGTTCTAGATAGAAAAGTAGTTTAAAGACACAGTTGTATGTGAGCTTTTAAAGGACACCACCAATTTAACAACACTGCTCTGAAAACAAGTCAAGGCCCAGCTGTTCAGGTATCGCTGGTGATTTTGGGAACAGCAGTTGCTGAATGCTCAGCCTGAATGACCTGAATGGATTTTTTCAAAAAGCGCTGAGTTCCCATCCTCTGGAAAATCAGGCTTCTTGGAGGTGACTCACATCAGGCACCCTCAAACTGCAGCACCCAAAATCTCGAGTGACTTCTGAAAGTCTTGGCTC